TTGGATGTCTTGCTGAAGAAGCAGCTCCCGAGCTTTTGCAGGCGTCGGATTTTCTACACCAAAGAGGATGCAGTTGTCCGCCATCGGGTCATGTTTATGATGACTTCGCTCCCCTTTTATGCATTTCAGGCACAGCTTTTGCGACTTGGGGTGGTTCCCCGGCTCAGATTCACGAGGCTGGGGTGCAGGCAAGGGACGGTCTCCCTGGAACACCGAGTCATGGATGGCAGCGTCGATCTTTTTCTGGCGCAGGAACTCTTGGATTCCTTTTGCATCTTCGCGAAGACAGCCGTGTAGGATGCATTGGGGATCGGCACGGGTGTGGCCTCCATGGTAGGAGCTCCCCTTTTTGCATCTAAGGCACTTGGGGTCGTTCCCCGGTGTTGTCATGGCTTCAGGCTCTCCCGCTGTGTGGCACGTGGTACGCTGGATGGCGGGCCTTCCCCCGCTTCCAAGTCGTAGGCAAAGGTATTATTCGCGGTGGCGATGCCCAAGTCACGAACTGGTAGTCGATGGAGTTCTCGTTCGAGGTACACGTAGCCGGGAATCTCCCCGGAGAGAAACACGTTGAGTAGGCTCGCCGATCAAGTACTGGTAGCGGGGCACAAACTCCCGAATGGTCAGGAAACAGCAGCGGTTGCCCTCGGGCTGCGTTGCACACCGATCTCCGTTGCCGAAGCGTGCAGCAAGCGGAGCGCAGACTTATTGTTCACCGGGATCGGCAATCGCTTCGGAACAAAAGAGGGACCTAAGAAAGACGGGACAGGCCCCCGGGTTGAGGACGGAGTGGCCCTCAGCAAGAGGAGAGAAAGAGGCGGGGCAGTGAGGCCACTCCTCCTTGAACCGCTCACGGCTTGAGCCGAAATGGCTACGCTCTCTCTCTCTCTCTCTATCTCTCTCTCTCTCTCTCTGCTAGCTCGGCCACACCTGCCACTCTAAGACACAAAAATATGGCCAGCCGAAATCCGGCCCTAAAGAGAACACCCCAGCATTGTGGGGGTGCCACCAATCACCATGGAAGTTTGTGAAAACTTGAAATTTAAACCCTCAAAGAACTTAGTAGGATGCTGATGATGAGATCACCGGTTTAAAAGGACCACGATAGGGTGGACGAAGGGGAAAGCTTGTTCATCCAAGCACACCGTCTCTTTGAGGGAAGTCTAGCAGCCGAAAGGCATTTGCATGCCTCCTGCATGATACAGCTTTCGCGATGGTCCGACTCCGCATTGCATTGCGATCGCATAAGTGCACCAAGTGCAGACGTGAAGCATTTGAATCTGTATGCCGCCTAATCGGACTCCGTCTCCCGACTGCCTTAGCTTGCATCTTCACACCAGGTCCTGCAGCCTGGATTCCTTTTTGGCGCGGCCGAGGCTCTGGTAGATATTCTCTAGATTGCGCATCATGCGGAAGTACAGCTGCGCGGGTGGCGTGATTTCCGCGGTCCTGAGTCTGGCGTTGTCTTGCATGCTGGACTCCACACCAAACTGTGAATGATCCAATTTCCCAAAGCACCTATGAGCTCCCTGGTATTAAGCGACCTCTGCTTCTTGGGTTTGGCCAATGCTTTGAGACCGTGCCGAAGCAGTAAGTACAAGAAGTGGCGCTGCCCTCAACTCTGCAGGAATAGTTGGCAAAGTCTCCTGATTTTCTAGAGTCTGATCAGACTGCAGCGTCTCAGGCTTCAGTTTCAAGGCAACGGGGATCTGCTGCCGGGCCACGACACCAACATCTCCTCAGGGATCCCTCAGCATTCACGCAGATGTTACTTCTAAGGCTGCTGCTAAGCATCTTTCGGAATGTCTCGGATGCAAAGCATGCCGGCCTTTCCGTACAGAACTTAGGTCTAAGTTTCAGGTGAGCTGCTGGCACCCAGCATGGCGCAAAGGAATCTCACCAGTTCGCGCCACACGAGCACCTTCCCGCCGTCGAAGGCGTCAATATACAAATCGCGCATCACTGCAGGTCCTCTCAGTCAACAAAAGTCAACAAAGAGGCCAACGCTGCCAGCCTGAAAAACCATACATACCAGGAAAAGCATGCCAGCATGTCACGCCTAAAGCTGCTCGGCAGTGACACTGCGGTCCCATGGTCTAGGCCTAGACGACGGAAAGAAGATCACATCTACTTTCGTAGTGCTACCCAGCCGCTCACGAGCCACAAGCTGGTCGTTACATGCTATGTAGGAGAAAAACTATCCAACCCAAAGCAGGAAGACTGTCGTTCACTGATGGTACCCAACTGACAGCCACAATATGTGACACGACGACTGCATCTCCGCAAATCTTAGCCCAGCAATCCTAACCGTCCTAATCCCGAAACGTCCTGCAGACTCCACAGAATCGGAGGCCCGGAGTGGGACTCGGATCAGCACATGCCGGGGCATGTCCGCAAGGGGATGGCACTCAAGGCCGCAGCGGCGCGCCACGGCAGCCCAAACCTGGATGCTCGGTTTTGAATTTTGCTTCCACAAGTCTTGCGCAAGCGGTTGGCAGAGCTCGTCTCTAGAGCTCATCTCCTGGCCAAGACGCTACGGACAGCGAAATGGGAATGCCCTTCTTCCTGGCCAGCACCGCATGCAGCATGGAGTTCTCCTTTGTTTCAATCGGATGGAGACATCGGATGTGGCACGTTCCGGACGACGTTAAGAAGGCTACTGGGCCGATGTGGCACAGGTAGGTGTCTAAGGCTATTGCCACCGAAGCTTGGCAAGATATCCTGCATCTCCGCAATGAAACAAGCTTTAAATTTTTGCTTGACTTGCTCTAACTCCGCTGTACACTCACACCACTTTCTTGCCAGGTATCTGGATCATAGTAGTTCTCCGCATTGCCCTGAAGGCCATACTCCGCAAACAGTGCCTTAGTGAATGCTTGGGCCTACTCTGGGTTTTAGCCAGGCTTTCGAGCAGGACCATCCGTGCCATGCTGCCGTCGCATGCTCGTGGGGTAGGCTTGGAAACGGCTGAAATTGAAGACAGAAGATATCGTTAGCAAACCCTGCTGTCTCGTCTCTATCTCTCTCTTCCTTCTCTTCTTCTTTTCAGGTCATCTTGCTTGGTTGCTACTGGTCGTAAATGTCACGTCATCTCTCCCTGTCTGTCTCGTGTTCTGTGCCAGCATCCCGACAATGAGGCTGAAGAGCGGTATTCAGCGCAGCGATGATCGCTTTGGCCTCGTCCTGTTCCAACTGACTCGGGGCTTCGGGAAGCTATCCACAGTGCCTTTGCAAGGTGTCCCTGTATGAGCCCGTAGATGCTACATGTTTTTGGCCTGCCTACTCAGCCCTTGTATAGGCCTACGCCTCTGCTCTAGCCCCTGTCGAACGGCCGGCTGCTCTTTCGCAAGTGCCCTTTCACACGATTTGCAGCTCCTTCTCACATGCTCTCGTCCCTTTCGGGTGTTTGTCTCCTCTTTCTGAAATGCTCTGGTCTTTTTCGATCGGTTCGCGACTCTTTTTTCCCGGCTGCTCAAGTTCTCTGCACGAGGTATGCGCCTCTTCTTCAAAACCTCTAGTCACTTCCTCTCGCGCACTTGGCTGCTCATTTCTGACATGCTTGGATCCCTTGCGAGCGGCTTGCTGTGTTGATTTCGATTGATTTTCTGCTGTTGATTCTCATTGATTTTCAAGCACCCCAAAGCCTTTCGAAAGTGTTTTCTCCTCTTTCTCCAACCTCTCATCTCTTCCGAACTGCTTGCTCTTCTTTCTCAAACGCTCCAGGTGAACGCTTCGCTGTTCCGTCTCGAATGCTGCAGTCTCCTGCGAGGGGGTTGTTCCTGCTTCTCAAACGCTCGCCCTTCGGGTGGTTTACAGTTTGTTCGTAACTGTCCATCTGGAGCGCCTTGCTCCCGTCTGTTGAATGCTCTAGTCTTGCTAAAAACGGCTGGCTGCTTTTCCTGACTTGCTCTAGTCCCCTTCGGGCGGCTTGCTCTGCGCCTCTTGCTCAGCGGCTTGTTCAGACTCTTCTCTCGAAAAGCGCAAGTACTGTCGGCTCCTTTTCGAGCGGTTTGCTTCTCGTGCCCAACTTTGTAGTTGTACTGCCAGCTCCTTTAGAGATCCTGGGGTCATGGGCTTGACAAAAAGAGAAATAAAAGGCAGATGAAAGTTATAATCAAGCTGTTGGGAAGGTAAATACAAAGCTGAACAAAATCCGAAGGAAAGCTAAACAAAAGCTGAACAACTAAAGCTCCTGCCATAGACACAGTCAATCCTTGCACCCCAGAGTGCCGCAGCTTCTGCCGTAGCCTCTGCCCTTTCACCCATGAATATCAACTACATCTTCGTTTCTACATCAGACCTCCTTTTTACTACTACTACTACTACTACTACTACTACCTCTTAAGTTATACTTCAATGTTGCCTTTTGTTATTACCTTCCATTTGACTTCATTTACCTTTACCTCATCCTAGGGTTCAACTTGTATTCCCCTTATATTCACCTTTGTTCAGTTCCGGAATCACCACTTTGTCTAAGCAACTAGCTTTTTAACTTTGTAGTCGCTTGCAAGCGGCCAGTTGCACTATCTCACCGTCCGAATATCTTTCGAGCAGCTTACTTCCCTCTCTCCTTTCGCGCGAATTTGTGCTCATTCTGAACCGCTCTACATAGCCCCTTTCGAGCAATTTGCTGCTCATTCTCAATGCTCCAACCCTTCCGGGTTGTGTGCTGCTCTCAAATGCTCTAGTCCCTTGCGAGCGGCTTGCTCAGCTGTCTCAAATGCTCTAGTAGCAAGCGGTTTGCTGCGTTTCTGAGATGCTCTAGTCCCTTTCGAGCGACTGGTTGCTGTTTCTAGAATGCCCTCGTCCCTTGAGAGAGGTTTGCTCTCTTTTCTCAACTGCTCTGGCCTCTTTGAAGGGGATTGCTACCGATTTCGAAAAGATCCAATGCCTTTCCAGCGGTTTGCTCCTCTTTGTCCAAACCCAATTTCGAACAACTTGCCCCTCTTTCTCAACTCTCGAGTCCCTTTCGGGCAATTTGCTGTTCTTTCTCAAAGCCAGTTTCCGTTCACATGGTTGCTGTTCCTTCCTCAATAGCAACAGGATCCCTCTCTTGATTTTTTCACGCTGCAGGCTCGCATCCCATTTGTGCGGTTTGCTATCATGTCTCAACTGCTCTAGTCACTTTCGAATCAAATGCTGCAGTCCCTTTCACACGGTACATGCTCTAGAACATTCTGAGCAGTTTGCTGTTCTTTCTCACATGCCAGCCCTTTTGGAGCGCTTTGCTCCTCGTTCTCAAATGCTGAGAATGGGGGCCACGCATCGCAAGCCGAGGCAAGCACGGCAGGTGTCAAAGTCGCCACTTCACGGTAAAGGATACTCGCGCAGGGAAGGGCGCGGGCGCGCCAGTTGAGAGTTTCAGAAAATAGGGGACCCTGATATAGGACCCTAAATAGTAGGATCCTTATTATAAGGACCCCTACACAGGGTACCCTAGTTTTCTGAAACTCGCAGCTCCCTTGTCAAATGCTATAACGTTCGTCTCGCTCGCGCGGTTTGTTGGTCCTTTGCAAAGGCTCGAATGCCTTCGGAACGGTTGGCTTCTCTTTCTTGAACCCACTACTCCCTACATCCACTACTCGCTTTCAATGCTATAATAATTAAGCTTCTCGCACAGCAAACTGCCCTCTTCGTTTTCGAATGGCCTCCTGTCTGCTCTAGTCCCTCTCGAACGGTTAGCTTCGTTGTTCGAACGGTTTGCTGCCTGCTGTGCATTTCGATCGTTTTACTGTTCTTTCGCAAACACTCTAATCCCTGTAGAGGGGTTGGCCCATATTCTCAACTGCATAATCCTTGTCTTGTGGCTTGCTCCTCTTTCTCCCCATCGCTCTACTCCTTATCGAGCAGAAGGCTGCTCTCCGTCCAGTGCTCTTCTCGTGTCCCGTTCGAGTGGGTTGAACCTCTTTGTCAGACACTCTGGTCCCTTTCGAGAGATGTGATACTCGTTCTCAACCACTGCAGTCACCGCCGAGCGGTTTTCTTTTGCTTCTCAATCGAGTGGTGTGCTGCTTTGTCAAGTCCTCTAGTCGCTGTCGAGCCTCCAGTGGTTTGCTCCACTTTCTCAGATACGATCGGTTTGTTCCAAGTTCTGAAAATATCAAAACCCCTCTCGAGCGGTTTGCTCCTCTTCCCCAAGTGCTACTTTCGAAGACAAGCTGTGCGAAGAGAATGGAGGCCGGAGTGGTTCAAACCATACAAAGATGCGTTCCAGAGGCTTCACGAATGCTGTTGCGTACAGGCTGGGATCACGGAAAGCCGCTTCGAAACGTTTCGCGACGGAACGGAACACCCTGATCTGTCAACCAGACCCGGCCCAGATACATGTGTCACACCTGCAAAACCTGAACGCTTCCACAGGATCCCCGAACCCCAAAATTCTGAACCCCCAGACTCGACAGTTAAAAGATCCTACCGAAGCGGACCTCGGAAGGAAGTCCGGTGGAGCTGCGCCGCGCACCCAACTCCTGGGCGCGCTGCGCAAGCTTCTCCTTGGTGCAATCAATTTCAGCCCACTCAGGGCCTGGATTGTCGAAGTACCACTTGCATGCTCCAACTCTTCTTGTGATAAGCACGGCCCCGGCTCTGTTCTGGATGAGGCTGCTTTCGAAGTGTTGGCCCGATCACGGCACAGGGCCACCCCCGGTGCCGCATGCGGACATTTTCAAGCCGTAGCTTGTAAACAGTGGCTGAGCTCCCGCACCAGAGGAACCACAAATAACCCTAAACAGTAATGGTACAGTAGCCACCAGAGGAACCACAAACAACCCTAAACATTAATGGTACAGTAGCCACCAGAGGAACCACAAATAACCCTAAACATTAATGGTACAGTAGCCACCAGAGGAACCACAAATAACCCTAAACATTAATGGTAGCCTCAAGAGCTTGAGCACCATAGGAAATCGAACGGTTCAGCATGGCAGAAGGCAGCTGTGCCTGCGGCCCAAGTCTCCAGGACAAGGCGCATGCCGCTGACGTCCGCAGTAGGGTAGCCCCACTGCGAGAGGATCAGAGCCTTCGGTGGCGTGTGAATGTTTAGGGTTTAGGGTATAGGGTTTAGGGTTTACGGCAGGAGGCACAGGAATGCTGGACAACCTGGTCGATTTCCCTGCAGCTTTGCAGGGAACCTTTCGTTCTTGATTCAAGCTGGTCACAGTCGCGGCGAGGATAGCTAAACACCCAGTGGGCTCTTGCAGTTTTGGCAAACAAGTGTCCAATATACCCACCGGATCCGGTCTGTGACAGACAATGATATACGTTGGAAGCCATCCAAGTTGAAACGGAAACTTGGCCCACAAACAAGCATTGACCCCTCAACTCTACACCCCCAAAGCCCTAAGTCCAGACCTACTCCCTCAGTCCAAGCAGCTCCCTCCTCTAAAGTCGCCTGGGCAACGGCAAAGGTTGAGGCCAGGGTCCAAGGTCCGAGCTCAGTTCTTTCAAGGCTTTTCGCAGTCTGAAGGATACTACTAGTCTTCGTGAAGGGTTTCCTGTCGTACCGTCTTCGTGATGATGTTCGACCAAAAGCAAGCAATAGTAGCAGCAGTAGCATAAGCAGTAGCAGTAGCAGTAGCAGTAGCAGTGGCAGTGGCAGTGGCAGTGGCAGTGGCAGTGGCAGTGGCAGTGGCAGCGGCAGTGGCAGCGGCAGTGGCTGTGGCTGTGGCTGTGGCTGTAGCTGTAGTAGTAGTAGTAGTAGTAGTAGTAGTACTACTACTACTACTACTACTACTGGTGGTGGTGGTAGTCGTAGTAGTAGTAGCAGCTGTAGCTACTGCTACTACTACCAATGATACCGCTTCTGCTGCTTTCTCGCTATCTGGCGCCACTATTTCCACAAGCACTGCTATTGCTAGCATTAGCACTACTACTATTCATGGCATTGTGAGCCTTGTTCCTTCTGTCATAGCTGCAGCTACTGAAGTCAACCATTGCATTACGATGACTTCAACTACTGCTACAACTTTGTTCAAGAAGACATGCTACTATCATCACCAACTCAAGTGATTCAAACACGTGCATTAAATCCCTCAACCCCGAGACTGGGATCTCGGACAGCTTTGGTGGGTTCGATCTTGATGAGATGCGTCCACCGCTCCACAGCCCAGGCATCGGTGATCCTTAGCGACGAGCGGAAGCTTTCCTTGACACCGCGGCTCAAAGGGAAACTTGCGACTGGGGCACTCCGTAGGGGTTCGATTCGGTTCGATCATCCGAAGGCCCCAACCAATTCAAACGAACTCTCCCTCAGCCGCCACACAGGACCGCACACCGAAGCACGTGGGTGTTCCGGTGGCGCTGCTCACATTGCGGGACCGGTTTTCGTGTGGGATTCGAGCTGACAAGACGCTTCTTGGCATGCAGGCCCCCTCAGGTTCTTGCGAACCTGACATCGCTACGCCTCCCTTCCCGTCTTGGGGGCTTCGGGCTTTAAGTTCCCTGCAAAGTGGCGCAGTGTCTCTGAGGCACAGCCTGATGCACACAAACAGCCCCAGCCCCGGAAACAACCCCACACACACCCACACCCCCCCCCCCCACACACACATATATATATATATACACATGTATACATACAAGTTTACATACATACATACATTCATTACATTACATTACATTACATTACATTACATTACATTACATTACATTACATTACATTACATTACATTACATTACATTACATTACATCGCATTACATCACATTACATCACATTACCACATTACATTGCATCACATTGCATCACATTACATCACATTACCTTACACGACATTACATTACATTGCATTACACTACATGGCAATACATTACGTTAATACATACAAACATACATACATACATACATACATACATACATACATACATACATACATACCATACATACATACATACATACGTACATACATACATACATACATACATGCATACATACGTGCATACATGTGCATATACAAACGCATAAATAAATAAGTATATATATATATATGTACTTACAACTTCTGAATAAAGAAACAAATAAATGAACACACACATATATATATATATATGCATGTCTGTCTGTCTGTCTGTCTGTCTGTCTGTCTGTCTGTATGTATGTATGTATGTATGTATGTATGTATGTGTAAACCCCGAAACCAAAAATGTCCGGAAAGTTTTCGACGTTGGCTCCATAACGAGATGGCAGGCGAGGGTTCAGGGTGACATGTGCTTACAGTTGTGACTGCTATGGTTAAGGCCATGACGATACCGGAGACAAGCGTGATTGACATTGACGCTGACTGACGATGACGATGGTGGTGATGATGGTAGCTGATAGCAGTGACGAAGGTCGTGACCATGCTATCATTCGGTGTCCTTCTGATCAGAAAGGACGCTGGATGCGTGCGTTTTGCGCCGCGCCCTTCAGCCTGGTCGAGACTGACAAAAACATGACCCTAAACCCTGTTAGAATAGGGTTTGGGGGTATGTTGGTTTATGGTTTAGGGTTTAGGCTTTAAGGTTTAGGATTTAGGGGTATGTTATACTATAGGTTCTAAAAGGGAACCCCCAAAACCCCATGTCAAAATTAACAGCTGATTTTCGGGTTTAGTTGCGGATCCCCGCCAGCTGCCTCAGGCAATACGGCTATTTGTAGTGTGATGACCCGAGGGAGTGCCAAGTTCGTCAACGTCTGATATACTGCCAGGTAGTGACCGTGACGCAGTAGTGGTATTGGTAGTTGCTGCTGGTCTACTACTACTCCCCGGCTACTACTTTTTGGAACCCAGACTCAAGTACAACTACCACCACCACCACCACAACGACGACGACGATTGCTACATAGCACCGCCTACTACTACTACTACTACTACTACTACTACTGCTACTACTACCACCCCCAGGACGACAACGACTACTACTACAACAACAACAACTACTACTACTACTACGACGACGACTACGACTACGACCACGACTACTACTGCTTCTGCTGTCACTGCTCCACTGCTGCTACCACTGCTACTGCATATCCAGCCGCCCCCCTTCAGCTCAGCTGTCTACTGCAGCTACCCTCACCGCCGCCAGCCCCGGGAGCAATGTAGCATAAAATGGGCTTAGTGAAAGGCAGTTGCAAACACTTAAAGCAAAAGGTCCGCTGTTGCAAGAGGTTCAAGCTTCAGCCAAACAAACTCCGAAAGTGCCAGAAAGATAGCTACACATCCTCGCCTGGCATCTGTGCATCTTTCGAGCTTGAGGAGGACATCGAGAACATTAGCGCCCAGTCGCAGAATCCTTGGTGGCTGTGGGCACTGTCCATCACGTTTGGTAGTATCACCATGAGCTCAAGCATGACTTTTGCGAGTGCTGTGAGAAGTACTAACAACCACTAAATTGGTTGTTCTCTGGTTCACAGCCCCCACCGCACCCGTGAGCCAAGCAGCTCGTCCACTTTGTCGGCATCTTCTGCTTCCAACCATCTTCTGACCTCTGCATCCTCCGCGAGAGTGGAGTGGAGTCTCCGAACACTCCAACATCACTGTATGGTCACCATCCATGTTGATACCGTTGTACAGATGTGGAACAAATCTCTCCACACAATGCCCTTGCTCTCACGAACCGTCTCTCTACTTATTTTCACGGGCAGGGCAGGGCAGGGCAGTCTTTCGGGTCCTAACACACATGCTNNGGTCGGTTGCTGGTGCAAAAAATCCTTTTAATATGACATCTCGGCCCTGGCCCTCTACCGCCGACGCTGCCCTCGGCCGAGATATCCATCCCTTTGCTCGCACACTGCACACTGACTCACTGTTGCGAAGATTCGCTCACAAATGCTCGCAGATCTCGTCTCCATTCGCTGTCTCACAGAGCCGGTTCTGAAGTTGGTGATTCAATTTAAGGTGCCTTTCGTGTGTCGTGCACAGCCCTGCGGTGTGTGGCCGGAAGAAAAGAAATCTCCGCGATCCTGCTTCGGCTTTGAAGAGCAGGTGCAAAGCAACTGCTGCGCTGTGCTGCGCTGCTGCCGTATGTGAGGTGCGCGAGCTTCGCACTTCTTGAGGTTATCCGACTCGGCTTCCATTGACAGTCATGGCTGGCTTGTTGGTCTAAGATCCTACGCCTTTGAGTTCTGTGCTGCGGCGATCGTCTCTGCCGGTCCTTTCTGGATCGCTCCAGGAAGAAGCCGAAGGCATCGGAGTGATGCACTCCGTCTCGATACTCAGCTACCTGAGTTTCTGCTTGGGCTGCTCCAAAGTATAGAGGAACATTCATGCTGTTGGAAGGGACTATATGAGAGGAGCGCCATTATCAGGGACATCAACCCACTTCCTTGGAATAGAGCGAAGCTTCTGACCGCTACCTTCGCCAGGATTACAGTGCCCTGTTTGCAGCTGGACAAACTGGAACAAGGCCCGAGATGCGGATCTCTGCCAAAGCTGCATGGAAGCCTCGTCGCGGGCCCCAGGGTTTGCGTGCGAGTCGACTTGGAACAAGGCCCCAAAACGCCAGCGCTCGCGGCAGCATTGGATCCACACCTCTTCAGGCGAGTTTCCCGTTTCTGCTGTCGAGAAGTCTTCAAGTGCTTCCACCGGAATGATGCCATGTGCACTGCTGTAGCTGGAAGCCGGCGCTGCGGCCTTGTCTTACGCAGCTCCAAGATGTGACATGCCAGCTATGCGCCTGATTACACCTCGAAGGAAGCTGCGAGAATCGCGAAGCTGCAGCCGCACACAGAACCGTCCTGAAATCCACGTAGCTAAGGATTGCAGGCAGCACCGGCTCCAAGACTTCCATGGCACTTTGAAAGGCCCCTTGTGCCCTAAACCCTAAACCCTATAGGCCCTATATGAGGTGCAGAACTTCGAGTTGTAATCAGCTGCTTGTTCGGGTGTGCCGTTTCCAGCTGTGCGAGTAGCTTGGGCTTCGTCCCCTTCTGCGATGCATCTTCTCACAATTGGGGTCCGGTTAGTCTAATTCAATTTCAGCTGAAAGTGCTTGTGGTTGCATACAGGTTCAGCCCACAAGCTGTTCCCCGTGCTTGCAGGATGTACTAGCTGCGGGTAGTTACCAGTAGTAGCTGCTTCTGCAACTTGCAGGATGCTCGGCCACTTGCGACCTTGAAGCAGCAGTTCCCGCAGGTGCACTTTCAGCTAGACGTGTAGAAACACATCTTGCAGCGTGCACACGTCTATGTCTAAGTGTCATCTCCAGAGCTTTTTTGCACCAGCGCGCCGATCTTGCGTTCATCTGGCAAGCTGAGCAAGGCCCCTACTTCAGCGATCTCATCTGCCGGGCTCTGCTCGGCAACTCCTCTGACGGCATCTGCACGGAGCCCTGTTCTTGCAAAGTCGGATGGAAGCTTCGACTCCCGGCACCCATCATTCAAGAGGCTCGCAAGTCTCACGTGGCAGATCCAAGTAGGTGCATCCAAGGAAGACCTTGGCCCCCGGACTCCGAGAGCCCGACATCGAAACATGTTTCAAGCTTCCACAAGCCCCAGAACCCTCAACCCGTCGGCTCCAAGCTCCAAGAAGACCGTGAAGAAGCTCAGAGCACAAAGCTCTAACCACCATCCCGACACTCTGGATGTCAAGCTGCTGCTGCAAGAAGCGACCGCAGTACTAGTAGTATTGCTACGGAAGCTTTCGAAAGGAAGATTATGCCAGCTCTGGGCGCCCTGCCAGCACCCAGCCAACCACAGAGGCAAGGATCCTTTGGGGATGCACCAAATAGCACAATTTGCTTACAGCTCTGTATACACACATCACTAACGTGCATACATATACATTCGCATGTGTACATGTCTTTACAACACAAACACGCACACACGTGAGCCTATCATGTGAATATATATAGGCATATGTATATATATATATATGTATGTATGTATGTATGCATGTATGTATGTATGTATGTATCCATGTATGTATATATTATACATACATACATACATACATACATACATACATACATGCGTGCATACATGCAAACACACATACATATCTACATGGATATAAAGATACACCATGTCTACATATGATGTTGGATACACATGGCAAGATGCAGGCATACGTTATGTATGTATGTATGTATGTATGTATGTATGCATGCATGGATGGATGTATGTATGTATGTATGTGTGTGTGTGTGTGCAGGTAGGTGTGTAGGTGTGTGGGTGTGTGGGTAGGTAGGTCGATCGGTCGGTGGGCGAGTGGGTAGGTAGGTAGGTAGGTAGGTAGGTAGGTAGGTAGGTAGGTAGGTAGGTAGGTAGGGTAGGTAGGTAGGTAGGTAGGTAGGCACGAGTATATACACGTATCTACATGTATACATGTATGTATCTAGGTATACACACACATACTCATAACTATGTGTGCCGGTCTGCGAAGGCAATGCTATTGCCAAGCTTTTCGTGGCAGACCTCGGGTTCCTGTTCTCTTTCGTCCGTGAAAAAAGCCCCGAAGCCCACTCGCCCTTGAACCCTAAATCCACGACGCCGGGAACGATGGTTTCTGTCTGGGCATCTGGCCAGGCGAACTCGGTCAGGTGGCCCTGTAGGGGCGTCTTTTGGAGAGCTTGGGTGGTGGTGGTGGTGGTGGCGGTTGCAGCGGCGTGCAGGCTTGGAAGGTTGCAAAGCAGAAACCCCTACGTTCGGGCTGGGCGATGCAGGCAGACGAACGTCAGTCTTCGTTTTGCTTTCGATCTGCAATATGCCAGTCCGGCCACCATGGCTCACTAAAGTGCGGATGGCCTCCACCATCGCGCCAAGGGTTGGGCATTTCTGTTAAGCCGCCTGTCGTTGGGGTCCGGGTTGACGTTAGGCCTCAGCCCCTGGATGTCGTGCACAGGGAGTGTCCACTGTTTCGGGCCAACCGCAGCTTTCTGAATTAGCAGCATTTGCAGTTGGCAAATGCAAAGACTGCAGTGCCAGAGCAATCCCTGCTTTCCACAAGCTTACGAATAAGCCGATGGCCAGCAAGATTCTAAGAACGAATTAGATGAATTGGCAGGACAAGTGGAATTTCGTTCAAACTCTCAGTCCGGTGGTCCGCACCATGGGAGGGCTCCCACGATAAACAGCTGGTACGGCGGGTGCTCGTGACAAGCTGCTGACGGTGCTGCCACTGCCACTCCCCCCTACAGGAGGTGAGACGGCGCCGGGAACAGCAGGTCCTGCATAGGTCTTCCGGCGCTTCGTCTCAGCGCAGTACGTCTTCGCAACCTCTCGCACACCACTTCCACCGCATTCGAGGACATTGGCAGCTGAGGACAGCTGATTGATGGCTTCTTGTAGGACACCGGCCGCTTCGCGGCATGTGCTTGCTGCGTCCTTTGGTGCGAGCTTCCTCTTGTCAGCCGGCCATTGCATGCGCAGAGCCGACTGCACCAAGAGATCTGCTGCAACTGATGGTGTCTGAAGCTTTGACGTGTTGCTGACCCCACCGGATGGCGGTGGTATTTGTGGACGTGGGGCCACCATGTTCAAGACGTGCGTCAGCTCCAGCAGTGGTTCAGGTTCCACAAGAGGCTCAGCAGGTTGCTCTGCGGCGGTTCCCGCACCTGCAGAGGGTCGAAAGCGGCTGTTGGCTCACATGAACTGCAGCGCAGAGAACGGAACATTATTGTCATGAACACCCTTTTGCCCCTGAGCCCGACTGCCACCCACGAATGGACAACCTCAACATGTATCCTATCCCTCCTGAAATTCTGACGCGACCACCCTGAAAGTATAACCACCTAACTTATGCTCGCTGTCGTTCGGGCACCTTGAGGGCCCGTCTGCATGGGCCAGAAGGCCAAGGGCTCTTGCGGCGCCGAAAGGCGCGGAGGCCGATGGTTCTCCTGCTGTCGCCTGGCCTCCTCCTCCTGGAGACATGTAGCTTCTTGTGTTTTGGGGTGGATATATATATATATATACATATAGTATTGTACTATATATACATATATATATATATCTTTGTTGCTTGTTCGCTTGCGGTGTTGGGTAGGTGTAGGATTTCCCAAAAACTTTAGGTTCGTTCGGCTCCTCGTCCTGCTTGATTCCCGAGCGGCATTTATGCAGGTCCACTACATGATGCTTCAAGCTTGTTCCATACGCACGGACTTATAGATGCGTGCAGGTAAATAAGTATGCGTGTAGGTCTATCTGTCTGTCAGAACGCCAGACTGTATGTCTGCAAAAGGGCTTGTACGTAGACAGTGTTCCGTCCATTCACTCATTCATTAATCCATTCATTCGTTCATGCATGCATGTTTGCATGATTCATGCATTCATTCATTCATACATCCTTCCACTCTGTCATCCCTTCCTTCCCCTTCTAATCCATCCATCCATCCATGCATCCATGCACCCATCCATCCATGCACGCATTCATTCGTTCATTCTTTCAAGTGTTCTGGAATTTCATGTCATCTCATTCTTTCCACTCCGTTCCATTTCATGTCATGCCTTTCTTTATCCATTCATTCGTTCACTGATTCATTCGTTTATACAGTCAGTCAATCAGTCAGTCAGTCATTCATGTCGTCCATTCCCTGCCGTTCATATATTCATTCAGCTCTGAGTCAATTCGTTCAATCAATCCTCTCAGGTCGTCTCATTCTATGTCATTTCACTTCACATTATTGCATTCCATTCCGTTTCATTCCAGTCATTGAGTTATCCATTCATCCACTCATACGTTCATCCATTCGTTCACTCACTCATTCCATTTCTTTCTGTACATCCCGTGCCATTCACTCGATCTCGCTCATTCCATTTCATTCATGCCATCTCACTCGTTCTACCTCATGCGTTCCATGTCTTTCGTCACTGTCGTTGCCTCCATTTAAACACTGATTCCCTTTCATTCACGCATGCTTTCCATTCCGTCCCATTCCTTTCATTCCGAGGCGCAGCTTCCACTTCACTCACTCATTGATTCATTGATTCCTTCCATTCCTTCATTTCTTCTTGTAATTCTCGCTTTTCATTCCTTGGCTCATTATCATACCTATATTTCTCCATCCATTCCTGCTCTCATCCATTCATTCCTTTATGCATCTCACCCCATCATTGGTTGCATTTTTTCTTTGCAGGAAGTACTACAATCAGTGTATATATATATATATACACATAATGATTGACATACATACATGTACACATGCAAACATGCACATGTACGTACATACATACGTACGTACATACATACGTACATACACACATACTACATGCAAACAAACAAACACACACACACACACACACACATTCAAGCATGCAAGGAAGCATGCATGCACTTTGTGTGTATATGTATATATATATAGATATATGTGTTATATGTATACGCATTCATTATGTATGCATTTATTCATTTTGGTACAGACACCCACATGCACTTAGAATTCGGCCTCGGCAGGTAAATTGTTTGTGGTACTAGTGCTCGCGACGAACTTAAACGCTTGCACCACAGCATCACCTACGTACATGCCACTCTGAACCCTTCGCAGGCGAGGACCATACGGTAAAGCTAGAATACAGAACAGTATGGTGTAATATCAGTGTAATATGAAAGTGTACCGTGCACTATGATATGCATTGATGTATATGATGGAACCTGAAGCGTCCGTCTGCCCCAGGGGTACACTACACATTGCAACAGCAGTCCTGCGGCTTTGCCGGCTGCTTGTACGACTCCTCCTGCTGGGAGGAAGGCTGCACAGCTTGTGCTGTCAGACTGTGGAACTTATGCGAGTAGCTTCAAAACTTTGGAAGACAGCGGGGCAGGATAGGAGGATGCAGAACAAGGTCAAGAAGAGCGGAGCCTGTCCTTCGGCGGCTTTTGTGTGAGTCGCGGTGCCGGCAATCCCTGCTGCCCTTGACCCAATGGATTCTTTGTCGAAGAGGCCGCAGCCGTGGCCGTGGCCTGCGCCCATGTGAGCAAACGAGCGGCCGTCAGGCCGGGCTCTCTGCTCCGTCGTCACCGTTTGTTGACAGCTCTGGCATGTTGCCCGAAACCCAGCCTCCGTTCGCTGGCCGCCGGGTGCCCGCCGCGCTGGCGTGGGCAAAGCGGACAGCACCTCCAAATAGGAACATGCACAAGCAAGCAACTCGAGGATATGCCGCGTATATGTACACATATGTGCATATGATTGGAAAGGTATGTGCTTATGCACACAAACAATCACAGAGACACGTGCAAACGCACGCACACACAACATGTGTGTGTGTGTACGTGTGTGTGTGTGTGTGCGTGTCTCTGTGTTTGGCTGCTAACTAATGTCTAAAACACAGATATGCACACCTATGTATAGATGTATGCAAGCCATACATGTACGTAGGTCTGTAGGTACTTGTGTTTATATGTACGTACACACGCATGTACAAAAAGGTATGCGTGGATGTATACATGCAAATGCCTCCACAAGCGTACCATATGTGTGTCGCAGATATGAAGACATGGAGAAAACTGTCAGGGAGCGAAGCAACGACACATCTACAAGTGCACCTGGGCTTCTGTGGATGTCTGGCGGATGTCTAAGCGTGTATCTATCTACCCTCCTGTCCCCATCCACATTGGATGCTTCGGAACATCCATCCTGCAACATCCGTTCGCAGCTGAATTGTTTGTATCACCTTGTTCGTCGTGCCGTCGTATCAGGCAAGACCCACACGTGATAGACAAGGGGCCTGCCAAGATTTGATCCGAGGACCCATCACTCTTTAACGACCTTATGTGTTGCGAAGATGTCGGCATCGGCAGAGCATCGATGGATGCGTGGACAGGGGAAGAATGATCCCGTGGTGCAAATTTCGTGGTCCATCCGGTGTAGAGTGTAGGGCAAGTAGCAAAAGCCTCTGATTCAATTGCTTCAACACGCACCTGCCATGATCCTAAACAACCTCATCTCCATATTGCGCAAGAAGCCCCCGCAGTGCCTCCGCTGCACCAGTGAGACGTCGAGCCCTCGTCGGGGAGCCCGGTGCCTGCATGTCGCAAGCTGAGATCCCGTTTGAACTTGAAGTTGAGGTTACATAGGGCGTAAAGCTTAGCATAGGTCAAGCTGTGTAGGGTGACAGAAAGCAAGCGAGATTCATGTACAAGGCTGTTTACGCGAATAGATATCAAGAGGCTGCCAGGAGTCTGTGGTATGGCTTGCTGACCGTCAGTTTGGCCTTGAACGACGTCTGGAATCCCTTGATCTGAAATCACGACTGGCTGGTTCAGGCACGCTGCTCGGAAAAGCCATGAATTGCTCGCACAAAGGTTGAACCTGTATCCACTGTGGGGGTTTCTGGAAATAGGGGAACCCCTGATGTAGTATCCTAAATAGTAGGATCCTTATTATAAGGAGCCCAAAATAAGGTACCCCCTAATTTTGGGAAACTCCCATGTGGTCTTCTGTGGCGCCTTGGCAGGGGCGTAGCTCCGGGCCGGTTCGGCTTTCACCGGGGCCCCCATGGTAATGCCCGAGGTGAGGGCCCGCAGGTCATACGGCGATGGAGGTGACCTGGGCGTTCTCACTGTTTGTGCATAAGACATTCTTAACGACGTGGCATGCAGAAAGCGCTAGCACGTAGAATATCACATGGACACACATTCGGATGACCGGGCGGAAACAAATGCCTCCAACGTATTGCTAAACAACGTCTGTTTCAAACTTCGGAAGAGCAGATGACCCCCAATTCGCACACATGCACACGTACTCATACATGCATCAAGCGACAACTGAAAGCGCGCGAGAGCATGTATGCAGCACTCGCATGATTATGCAGGTACATAAACGCACATGTGCATTCTACACATGTGCATACATATACACATACATTACATTACATTACACTACACTACACTACACTACATTACATTACATTAGATTACATTACATTATATTACATTACTTCACAATACATTGCGTTTACACTGAGTCTACACTACATTAGGTATATACATACATGCATACATACATACATACATACATACATACATACAGACATACACAGACTGTTTGTACATATCTGCACATGTCATTTATGTAGTACATATCATATAGTTACATGCTTATGTATGTATGCATGCATGAAATAAGGTGCGTGGCGTGTACGCGCACATGAACACTTGCATTCATGGATGTAGCACACACAAAACATACAGACATACACAACACACCCACACCCACACCCCACATCACGCACGCACGCATGCATGCATGTGGGTGCGAGCGCATGGATTCTGTAGATGCGCGTAAAGGTTCAGAAAGTCGACAGTAGGACTATTGTACATAAGTACGTGCACTGACACTGCCTGATATGTAAAGTCCAGACAGCAGTACAACAATAAGCGAATGTAAGTAAACACGTGTATGCATGATTAGCATTGCATACGTACATACAGAGTAAAATAGCCTACATTACACACACAGATAGATATAGAGAGATAGATAGATAGAAAAAAATATATGGATAGACCTCGTATAAGGAGTTGGTTGCCGATCCTACAAGTTAAACAGTAGCCAGTAGTGGTGCTATCACACAGGACCCTCGGCTTGGGTTGTTTGGGCTGTAAAGCTTTACATGTTCAATTTCAAGACTGTAGCATAGATACAGGTATTTATATCACCAAACTTATTTGTAATCAATTGTCCCTCCCCACCCCAACCAGGAAAACTCAGTCTCAGCCCCGTCGCGCTAAACCCTCTAGGTCATAAGCGAATCCCAAGCTAGACTCTTTTATCCCAAAATCCTAAACCCTAATCGTAAGCCGCAAGCTCCTAAACCCTAAACCGGACTCAAACCCTAAACCCTGAACCCTAAAACCTACACCCTGAACTCTAAACATAAAGCCTAAACCCCAAAACCTAAACCCCAAACAAAACTGTAAAGCCCTGGCCCAGGGCCCCGACACTTCGAAGGCACCCGATCGCCTGCGCCACTTCTCCAATACCACAGAGCCGTTTGCTCCGTTCTTCTGCTCTTCCTGCTTCAGGCTTCGCGCTGGAGGGAGTAGGGTTCTGCGATTTAGTTTGGGTTTCGGGCTGAGTTGAGTGACGCCTTAAGGTTTTGTCGGATTACAGTTGTGAAGATAGTACGCCGGGGTTTTGGGATTGACCTCAGCGCGTGAGTTGGTGGATGACAGGACAGAGCAAACGATGTGATCTGGCACGCGCACATCAGCTCGGCCAGAGAAAGCAAGCTCCACAAATCGTGCCGGGCAGACCATGACCCAACGGCTGCGCATGGCCTCAGCAATCTCCATCAAAGTCGTGCGATTGGACCTTGGGTGGCTGATCCTACCTATAGTCTCCATTGTAGTTCCTTTTTGGGGGTTACCTTATAAAATCCTTAATATATATTTGGTTAAACCAAAAAAAGGAACTACAATGGAGACTATAGGTAGGCCGTAGCCTCTGACTCTTGGATCCTGGCTCCTCGACACGAAAGTAGGGAGCTTCAGATGCCAAGTAGCTCGGTGAGATGGACCGCTTCGGCCATCATCTGCGCGTAGTGTCTGGGAGCAGAATGAGACAAGAGGCTGAGGAGCAAAGCGGCCACAGCGCTGACCAAGGGCGGGCGACCAGAGCCATACAACGCTTCGGGGTCGTACACCACACACATCTCTAGCAGGAACCTGGCGAGATTGCCGCAGCGCAGCTTGGACTCCGGGTCCCAGCTAGCTGGATCGGTTCCAGCCGAGGGCATAGGGCCCGACCCTGCCGACGGGTTGCCGAGACGCAATGCATGGGACGGGAAGAGATCCGAGAGTAAGCGGTCTAGCAGGTCGAAGGCCGTGGGTGTGCAGGCGCGGAAGCCCAAGCGCCGGAGGATGCTGAACTCTGCCTTGCGCACCGCGGCCCAGGGCCTCGAGGAGCCCGAAACCTCCACAACCAGGCGTCTGGCTCGCTCCAGATCCTTCTGGAAGCGATGCTGAAATTCAACTACAACCTGCGAAGAGAGGTCAAACCGAATGGTGCGCTTAAAAGAAGGAGGTTCTGCTGGAACCCGTTTTCAGAGGTCCTTCTTGAAGCCCGAGACCTTCAGAGCCACGAGCATCACGGCCAGCACCAGAGCGAAGGCACCTGGGCCTGCCGCGATGGGTGCTGTGGCATTCGCTGCGAAGCGGTCCAGCAAACCTGGGTTCCCCAGTAGCCCCGGAATGCCAAGGATACCGCATCTTTCCTACCATTCGGTTTTAAATCAGGAAACCCTCAAAAAGGGGAAAAGGCTACTACGAGGGAACCTAGGAACCAATAGCCGAAAAGAGCTGCTCGTCTGCGAGGTCCAGGGCATCGAAGGCTTGGACCAACCACTCCAAGGCGTCCAGCCTTGTAAAATACATAGTAATTTTAAAACCATGGAGCCCAACAACATGTCCCAAAAGTGAAGTTCATAGGATTGCATTTCATAGGTCCAGCCTTCTGGCGCTGTCCAGGCCATGTGCCAGGCTCTGATGGCTCAGATTCAATGGGGAAGCACGCTTGTGCAGAACCGACAAGGGCACCTCCTGAAGAGGTGACTCCTCCAAGGAGGTTCAAGGGATTAGGGACCCTACGAGTGCTACGACTAGTACAACACCCGAGCCCCAGATAGTAGGATCCTTATCAGGAGAACCTTATATAAGGAGGTTGAGCAAGGTAGCTCCTTTCAGAACCCTCTTTTCCAAAGCATATCAAACCCTTATATAGTGCACTCCTCCAGCTCTTGTCCAGCTTGCCTGTCGCTCTCATCCAGTCGGCTGAAGCGCATGCTGCCGGCCGCCATGTTCAGGCACAATCCAAACCGACCCGCTGAAAGAGGGGTCTCCTGGCTTGGAAGCCTTCTACGACATCTCCTGAGCCTGAACAGCTACGTGGAACAGCACGATTAAAGAGCCGCCCCTATCCCGCAACCATACGAGGCTTTCATTCACTCTGAGGTACACATTCGGTCTTACGACTGCAAACATGACATGATGTGCATGCGCAACAAACGAACCTGTGCAAAAACGAGGTCGCCTCATGCTGAGCCAGCCAAAGGCCGAGGGCAACCAGCACACTTGCGATGCCTGGTATACGATAAGGGTTCAGGGATGCAGTCAGAGGGCTGTTGCACTGGGATGCTGACCCAGGACGGTGCGTCTTGCAATCCACAGCCCCTCAATCAGATCTCGGAGCCTGGTGTCTTTGGGCATGCGCTTTTTTTCCATGTCTTAACTGGAGACTGCCATTTAATCTGCCCGGGCATGCGGCCATGGTTGACGGATGCTTCGTGCCTGAAGTTTGGCAGGCTTCATTTGCAGATCCGGGCATTACGCTTCTAAGGCACCTTCTGAAAACTCTGCTGCCTTCTTCAATCGTTCGGTGCCGTCGACTTGCGGTCTTGTAACGCGTCTCTGCACGCGAGGCGACCTCGGTTTGCGCGTGTTGCAGTGCTCCATCAGCTTCTTGACAATACTATCGCACATAATCTTGCACAAAGCTTCTGGCCTTGCACCGCGCATCACCCGAAGAAGGCTTGGGCATGGCAGAATGCGTGACGCACTGACTTCAAACAAATTTCCACGAGGTCGGGTAAATCGTTCGCTAGCGAGGGTGCATTTGGCTTGACTGGGCATTCGTTTATCACACAGCCTCCATCTCAAAGCGCTGAGATCCGTGCAGCAAGAGATGCGACAAACTCCCCACCAGAACATCACAGTGGCTACTACCATCCTCCATCGATGCAGGAAAGCTCAAGCGAAGCTTTTCTCACCCGTGCTCACCAGTTTTGCGTTCGCCGGCCTGGCAGAGGCACTAGCGCGAGAACGATGGCAAAAGATCTCGTGGAGTAATATACAATTTCAGAATCCCGACGATAAGGACGCCTGAACAGGGAGGTATACATAAGACCCGATCAACCTCACTTCCCCGGCCAGCATGGTTAGCCGCGTGCCTCTGCAAGAACGTGCAAACGTTGCATCTGCCTGGTGGTACCAACAGGGTACTGGGGAACTACTAGAAGTATAACCCCTACTTAATAAGCCCCCACCGCTCATCAAACCCTAAGCCCTACGCCCTCAACCCCGAATTTCACCCCCACAGATCCGAACCCTCGAAGTTAAGCCCCGTATAGTAGAAGCCAGAAAGTTAAACCATAGTTATCCTTACAGCAAAATAGAAGGGATCACTAAGCCTCCTAAACCCACGTTCCGACTTTCTGGGATTCGCTGTAAACCTAAACCCAGTAGCAGGCACGTTGCTCAGAGACCGCTTCCTTGAATGCGCGGCCAAACTCAGCCAGATCCAGGAAGATGTCCTTGTAGATATGCTGACCAATCCACTACTACTACTACTACTACTACTACCACTACTACTGCTACTACTGCTACTACTGCTACTACTGCTACTGCTACTACTACTACTACTACGACGACGACGACTAGTACTAGTACTAGTACTAGTACTACTACTAGTACTACTACTACTACTACTACTACTACTACTACTACTGTTACTACTACTGCTACTACTACTTTGCTACTACTGTACTACTACTGTACTACGACTGTATTACTGTACTACTACTGTACTACAACGACTCAAACTACTGTACTTGCAATAAAAACAATAGCCATAGTTACAATAAGAATAGTAATTGTCATAATAAGAATATAAGAATAATAAAACAATAACGGTAGTAATGAGAATACAGTAACAATAACAACAAAATCATAATGATGCTGCTTGAACTCTTTTAAAATTTAGGAAGCTTTGCAAATAGACATTTCAAACGTGCAAACCTGCGGGTGTCCTGCTTGTTGTTCATCTGGCATAATACAAGAAACCATATACACGAATTCGTATGTGCGGAAACGACAAACCTAACACAGATGCCAAGAGGCCAGTCTCTGAAACGCAAGCCGGTCGGATCGTTCCTTATGTCAGACACAGACCAAAGACATCTCATTGACAAACAGCTAACACCAACTAACCAATAACAAGGGGACCGAAGAACTGAACTAGGCCCTCCCTCTCCCTGTCTGCCGTCGCGTCCAGAGGTGTCTCTCAGTATAAATATCCAGGCACCGCAAGAAAATCGTAAACCCTAAACCCTAAACCCTAAACCGTGGGCCCCTCGATCCGCCAGCCTCTGGACCTTTCCATGCAAGGTTTTTGATAGCGAAAAGTACACCTGGGCAGTACCATTTTGGGGTCGTTGCCAAAACTATGGGTCCCTTTTGGGGCACCCTAAATAATAGGTGCCGTGTTATATAAAAAGGACCCAACAAAGGGACCATAATTTTGACAACCACCCATCTGAGCAACTGAGGCCGGCTCCTCTTGGAGAGGAAGGCTGAAGTTTCCAGGGGTCCCGGGTGGCGGCGTGCCACCAGGAACATAAACATGCCTCGTGAAGCGTGCATTGTTACTGTATTCTTATTACTACCGTTGTTGTTTAATTATTCTTTTTATGACAATTACTATTCTTATTGTAACTATGGCTATTGTTTTCATTACAGCAAGCTCCGCATTCGAAACCCACCCGACCCAAAGGATGATCACAGCACGTCTCTGCCAGTGCCCATTCTTCCCCCACTGCTTGAAGTACAGCTCGCTCTGCGCGAAATATGTTATTATTATTATTTTTTTTTTGTATGGTGGCGGGCTCTCGGTAGTTGGGCCTTCAAGCCCCTTTCCTGAACCAGTAAATCTCACTTCCGAGATCCTCCAAGTCCCGAAACTCTGAACTTTCTACCAGCTTTTGAAACAGGAGCATGGAAGTGAGACTTTCTACCACTTTTTTTTGACCTGGGCCTAAATCCCAGAAAACATCCCTAAACCTTACTCTACCGCTGTTGCCTGCCTCAGGTCGACGAGATCCAAATACTCCAGTGTTGCTCGCTTTGACCACAAGCGAGTGGTGAGGACCTATGAAGGGTTCGGTGTTTCGGGATTGAGGGTGTAGGCTACCCAGAGACTCCAATATGACCATGAATAAGGAACTTTGGTTCACGGAAAATTCCCTAATGAAAGGATTTTGGAGCCTCTGGTAGTCCGGACAGCTGTTGGCTTTCAGCACCCACGACTGGGACAAGCCAGGAGAGGGTTTCGAAATGCCGTTCGAGGTCTGCTGCGAAGTGAAACACAAGCGAGTTCAAGACCGCCATCACAACGCACGGTCAATAGCTCTGGACAAACTGTAAGTTTGGGAGGGTCTTCATCTCACCAAGATCCATGTCGGGCGAGGGTTCAGGGGGGTTTGGCTCTCACTCTCAAGAAAACCATGCAAGACTCTTTTTCGGAGCTGCTTCCTTGCTCTGTACAACAAGGGCAGGCAAGCTCCACCGACAGTCTTCTCAGCTGCTGCCACTGTCACGAAGTCTCCGAACACGGCGTGCGATAAACAAGGCCTGTCGGAGCCTGCCGCTGCCAGCTCACTGGACTTGAACTTTCTGGCCCAAGCAGTTCAGGAATGATGGGTTTCGAAACTTTGGTCTTGTAGCCCGACAACAAAAGCCACATCCAATTCTTGAAGGCTTGGGCCCTCTTGGCACGTACCCCTTGGGAAGGCACGTGCCTACAGGGTCAGATGCTTTTTGATCTGACCGGCCAACTTTAAAGATTAAGACAATGACCTACTGCTCCTTGTCCCTATCGCTCACGACATCCCAACTGGCGAGGCTCATCGCTGCAGGCAGGATCCTGGAGATCATGTGCTTGCTGTCGCCATCCCCGAACATGTTGAGGCGAACATCCCGCAAAGGCAACTTCCCGCACATCTCGACGGCTTTCTGCAAGCTGTGGCACCTAAAGCTGCTCTCAGGCATCTCTCGCTCCGCATCGTACTGCATCCGCAGTCTTTCCATCTCAGCCTCTTTCTGGAGCCGCGCCACCTCAGCCTTGTTTGCAGCCCGCTGCTTCTCCACACGGTTCTCCTTCTCCAGGCGGGCGAGCTCAATCTCCTCCTCCATGTGCAGCCGGGCTTTGGCAGCCTCCGCCTGGACGGCGAAGAGCTGCGCTTCCTCCTGCTCTGCCTTGAGGCGCTGTCGTGCGGCTGCAAGACGCTGTTCAGCCTCAGCCTCGGCCCGGGCTTTCGAGAGCTTCACATCGTCCTGCAACTTGCGTTCTTGCAGGAGCCGATCCGTGTCCAGGCGAGCCTCTTCGGCTTTTAGCCTCACCTCATGCCGGTGGGCTGCCTGAAGATCCTGAAAGAGCTTGTTGGAGCAAATGCGAACATCTGCAATCTCGATGGCTTCCACCCAGACGCCCCAACCTTGCACCTGCTCCATGACTTTCGACTTGACCTGTGAGCGGAATGTCTCCCGCTGCGTTAAGACCTCCTGGAGCGAGCTGTTGGCAACCTGGCTCCGCACGACGGCTTTCGCCATCTCTGCGATGTGCAAAGAGCCCGCATTTGAGTCGACGGTTCCGTCGCCATCCAGGTCGCGCATGGCCATGTACTTGTAAGCAGTCCATGGTCCCTCGCCATCTCGGTTCACGGCCCAGCTGAGATAGCCAGAGACTTCCAGTCCCTGCATTTTACAGTCCACCTGTTGGGCGGTGAAGCGGACTTTCTGGATCGTGGCTGGGAATGTGGCGATGGAGTCCCGCCATCCTCGAAAAGCTCGAAGGCCAATGCCCTGGCCGATGAGCTGGCCGTCCCTCAAGACGAGAAGCCACTCATCTGGCTTGACCACACGCCACCGAGACCACCAAATCGCGGCGGCCACAGAAGCGGGAATCGCAATGACAGCTCGCATCCAAGCAGGAACCACCTTGGCAAGAAACGCCGTAATTACGATGGAGACCAGCGACAGGATCCAGGCCCAATCCTTGGCCGTGTCCCAGCCAACAGGGTCAGCAACCTTTGCCATGGTTTGCGAGCTGTCGACAGGGCACTTGAAGGAAGCTAGAAACACTGAGGGGCGCTTGAGCAACTTGTGCCGTTGAAGGTTCCGGGTTCTGGGCCCCGGACGGGGCAAGATGCGCCCATACCTACCTTTGCATAACATACTGTATAGGTTGAAGTTAGATGCATTCGTATCGGTATGTCTACATTGGTATGTGAACACGAATTTGGAACCACATCACGGAAGCTTTTGCTACATGTAGATGTGAACCGTCATCTGTCTGCGAGGGCACACTTTCTACACGCGTCTAGCAGTCACAGTCCCAGCGTGTGTGTGTGTGTGTGTGTCTGTGTGTCTCCGAATAGGCATCTAAGAGAAGACCACCCGTGATTGATCCTGACGCCTTCAACGAGGTGGGTGACAAGCACGAAAATGCTTGACAAAGGGTCCGCAACTTCCAGGTGCGGGGCTACTTGTGCGCACAATGGTGACGAAGGGCCCGGAAATCCCACACCGGAAACCATGCTCCGGACAAAGGGCAGGCACAGCCTAACGGCAGTTAGTACTGCGTTTGCGAGATTGCTTATTCAGCCTACAGTCATGTCTTCTCCCGGTTTCCATGGGCCGACTGCCTTCTGCGTGAAGCCCGTGCCCAACTGCCTTAGCCAGTTGATTGACGCTAAGACTACTTTCATACCGCTTGTGCGCGTTGCCCCCTTGTAAACCAGCTGCGCTTCAACTTGACACCGCGCACAACTAGGGCGACTCGAAGGGGTTACTTCCATTCAATGCGTACTGTCGGCACGGCACGGCGGCCCTGGATGTAAATGCTTTTCTTCAAGCGCATGTGATGCGGCCGGGATGCGCATTCAGCGGATACAGCCACATGGCGCAACAGCCAGCAGCCATGAACACCGGCCACCACATCCTGGGTTGCTGAGCTGGTGGACAACTTCCGCGTTGCTTCTTTTTGTAAGTACGCCTTGCAGTAATTACAACGCTTCACTTTCCTACCAGCAATGTTTGTCTGTACCAGTAGTTTGAGGACAGCTACTGCCACAACTACAAATACTAGCAATACAACAACAGCAACAACTACTACTGCTGCTGCTGCTGCTGCTGCTGTTAGTACATTACTAGTACTTGTGCTACTGGTGACTGGTTGTATGGCTAGCACCGCTCGAGCTACTGCTACTGCAATGCGACGGCTCTTACCACCACCACAACCACCACCACCACCACGACGACGACTACTACTACTACTGCTCCTACTACTACTTCTACTTCTACTTCTACTTCTACTACTACTACTACTACTACTACTACTACGCGACGACGACGACGACGAATTACTACAACTACGACGACGACTATTAATTCCTCTGCTGCTGCTAGTGCTAGGGCTGTAGTGCTAGAGCTCCAGCTGCAGCTGCTGCCGTGGTACTGCGCCGCGACTGCTAGTTCTAATGTTACTTCTACTCAGTATTTGCTTGCAGGCACCGCTTCTCCTACGGCTTCTACATGTTTCTTCTGCTGACACTGCTGCTGGAACACGAAGAAGCACCGTGCGGACGAGTAAGCATCGGGAGAGCCGGTCGCTGCGAACACGGACGCAAGCTTTGCTTTGCCTGTAAACCAGTCAACAACCCAGCCATGGGGCGCAGATCCGTAGGCCCCGATGAAGATGTCCGTCAGCTCCGCGAGCGCAATCTCTTCACCTGTTCTTGCTACTCCAGTTCTCATTGTCATCTTACGCTTTCTCCGACAAGCCGGTGCTCCACCCTCTTCACGAGCGAGGCGTCGAAAGTGGCTTCACCCTCGTGCTGGACTTGTAGCTGCTCGTAGTTCACATGTCACAACGGAAAGCCCTCGAAGAAGCCTCCAAATTCGCCATTCACGAGCAAACACACTCGGGTAGATACAGAACCAATCAATGTCGGGCAGCAAAAAAAGCAGCACGAGACTTTTACCAAACCGGACCACACAGCCACAAACCTTGCGCTGGGCACCCTCGGGAACTGCGACAGCCTGTAGGGATCTAGACACCATCGTACACCGAAGACTGCACTGCAATTCTGCTCGTGGCTGAGCACATGAAACCAAGCCTATGGAGAACTGCTCCATCTGCACGACGGCGATCCGGACCTTGGCTGGGAGGGGTCTTGGCAAGCACACATACATACATGCCTGCCATGCATAGGGAATAGATACAACCAGCCAACCAAGCAATACATACATGCATACGGGCGACATACATAAATACACACAGATAGACATACATACATTACACACATACACACATACACACATACATACATACATACATACATACATACATACATACATACATGCATACATACATACATACATACATACATACATACATACATACATACATTACATACAAACATACATGCATACATACATACATCCATCCATGCATGCATGCACACATACATACATACATACATACATACATACATACATACATACATACATACATACCTACTATATAACACAAAATTACACATGTACGCAGCATCTGTCTGTTTAAATGTCGACTCATGTACAGCCATTTATTTGCACATCTGCATAAAATGGACTACTCCGAAAGTAGAAGCATGGCAAGGGCTCGCGAGACCACACACACACATATATCTATATGAACAAATATACATGCATACATCTACATATGCATATACATGAACACAAGCATATACATTCACATGCATACATACATATGTATATATATATATATACATAGGTATGTATACACTGATACACTTGCATGGCTACATAGAGCTGCACCTACACATCTTCACATGAAGCTGTGTGGATGGAGTTTATACCTTGACGAATTGCAGCATACGCACGGGAAACATTCGCAAGCGAACGTGTGCGCGCCCATGTGCAAACGCCATAAAGCATGCAGGCAATCGTTCTCCTCGGGGCTTATATCTCGGCCGAGGCCATGAGGCGTGGATCATGTTTCTGCCGGGCCAACTTGTCAGAACAAGGCCAAGCTGTCCCCCCTCTCCATCCTCCCGTTGTACTTCGGCGCTCACACTCGGACAAGCCAGGGGAGAATGTTGGTCCGACTACCCGTTGCATTTAGGAAGCTAGGTGCGCGAGCGGTGCACAAAGCAACTTGAATCGATGTAAACAAGCGCTGGTTGCCTTTTCGAACTTGCATAGATACAAGTGCGCAGATACCTATGGCCAGCTAGGCCCAACATACAAACATAACTGCACTCAAGCACAGAGAGACTCTGCAGGCAGATACTGCTAAACACGCCAGCAGAGACCCGCATGTTGAGCTATACAGCATTTACAACTGCAACTCCATACAAAACACACATGTACGAATACTCGGTCTTGTACCCGTCGGAGATTCAATTGGCGAGCCAAGTGCTTTATCCATCGCGGATCGTGAACTGCACTGAATTGGTCTGCAAGTGAGGCTTTTACCAAGGAAGCTACACGAGGGCTAGGACCAGCATACCACCGCAGATCTCCTGCCGCAGGCCAAAGGACTTCAGAGCTTGGGAAGCTCGTCTCAGCCCAACGCCTCACGCCGGATGTTCTATGCAACAGGCTCCAAACGTCGCCAACTATCCCACACGCTGCCTCTGGGTGGTATCTTTGTAATTAAGTGTGCTTGTGAGTGGCCAAAAACCAGCATGAACAGGGTACATATGCTCGCTACATCACTTCAAGACTTCAAGACAAGCGCAGGGCTGCCGTGAACATCCTGCAGAGTGTCGAGGCATCGTCCAGGTTCACAATCGCCCGGCTGCGTGCCAGGGATCCGCGGCGGATGATGAGGACCTGGGTGGTTGGTCGTTCCTTCCAAGCCATCGTCTTCAGCCTAGATGTTTCCTGCGGAGATAGATGTATATACAAATAGAAAGAAATATACGCACATGCATGTGTTTGTTGTGCTGCCGCTATTATCGCCATGCTTACCCGGATGATCTCCAGTCTCATGAGTTAGTTACAGTTAGTTTGAACGGTCTTTCTATGTTGGTGGCACTTGGAGAAGGTGTATGCCCGCGTATATCACCCTCGAATAAACACATACACACACACACACATGTGTGTGATATTAGTGTCTGTGCAACTGTTCATCTCTATACTTTCTATATCTTTTCACTACCTATACTTGCTTGTGTACATGTATATATATATATATCAATGTTACATACATATTTCATTAAAACATTGCATGGTATCAAGTACACACATATCTATATCTATTAGCCTTCGAGCCGCTCGCAGGCAGCTGCGGCTCTGAATCTCGAGGCAGGGGTCGGCGGAGACGGCGGGCGCCGAGGCTTTCGGAAGCCCCCAGACTTCGCTGAGCAGCTCCTGATTCAAAGGATCATGGGACTTAGTAAGTAGGGTTTAGGGTTTAGGGTTTAGGGCTCACTCCTTAAAGGATCATGGGACTTAGTAAGTAGGGTTTAGGGTTTAGGGTTTAGGGCTCACTACTTAAAGGATCATGAGACTTAGTAAGTAGGGTTTTTTGCTTAGGGTTTAGGGTTTAGGGCTCACTACTTAAAGGATCATGGGACGTAGTAAGTAGGGTTATAATTAGGGCAACTATACTTATAACCCCAATTAAGGGACTTATAACCTTACTTACTAAGTCCCATGACCCTCCAAGTATTCAGCGGTAGGAGTGTGGCCTTAGTGTCACGTAATCTAGTACAGTAGAGTACTGTATAATGTAGCACCATGACACATGACCGCATAACATAATGAGACCCTATAGTATGAGCAAACTGCACCATAGTAGATTGGAGTCGCTAGTCTTTATAGAGCTTTTGCAACTCAATGGGCGACGGCTATCGCAATCACATCGGCAAAAGATCATGAACAGGTCGAAGTGTTTGCAAAATCGGGCATACCAAAGACACCAATTCGACCATTCACAGTCGGACATGTACACAGTGGTCAGTTGGCAATGACACTACCCTGTGCGGGCATGTCGTACTTTGGTCGTCTACGCAACTCAGGGCGAAGAACATGACTCAAATGACCGAACCTGCAATCCTTGTTCGCGACTTCCGAATTATATAAGCACATGATGGCGCGAGGGTCCTGCTTCGACCTGCCACCCCAGAAAGGGAACTGGGTAGCGACCTTGGACAAGGCAGCGGCTTGATGTTTCGGTTGTAAAGGGTCTCTCTCGGGTTCTATCAGGTTTGTGAGGGTTTTGACCTTAGGGCCAGCATCTGGAATCATCCAGCGGCCAGCTTAAAACAGACCGCGCGCATTGGCATGTGTGCATGTGTGTATAGAATTTATACATGCAAAAGCGTATGCGTATGACTGCATGCATGTACGTATGTATGTATGTGTATGTAGGTAAGCGCATGTACACACATGCATGATATGCATGTGCGGAGACATGCATGCATGTATTTTTGTATGTAGTTATTTGTTGGATGCACTGCTTGCGGATGTTTCCCGGTTAAGAACTTCAAGGTATGTATTTGTGTGCCTCCCTTATGCCCGGGTGTGTCACACTGCTTCCGTGCACTATTCCCTGCACCATCCAGACGCTCAGGCGTACCTGTGACGGCCGCAATGAGATGCAATAACGATGTACTCTCCTCCTCTTCGTAGCTCTCGCTTTCCTTGACATGCGCTAGAACCCAAAACCGTCCTGTCCCGCATTTCGACTCTCACAGTAAATAAGACAGGTCTCCAGGTGACATACCAACCCGAGCAAACGACAGAAAGCCGGGTATGTTAGCTCTAACTTGGGACAGGACCTTGCCAAACACACGAATGCAAGCATGTGTGCATGCATCATGCGCATGTGCACATATGCACACATGCAGATCGACTTATGTGTGTGCAGAGACTTTGTGGGTTGAATCGAAGAATCAAGTCGATTCTGTATGTGTCTTCTGTCTATCTCAATCGGGCAAAGGACCTAGCTGACCTAGCTCGAACCTCTGGATCTACGTGTGCCCACGTATGAACATGCAGGCAACGCTACAAGCAGTCTAGGCGTGTGAGCAGAACCCGAAAACCTTTATTTGAGGAGGGGCTGCAGAACCCTAAAGCCCACTGTTTCGACGCAGAACAGCCAGGCAAATACGCACTGCTCAGAGGCCGCTGTACACGGCGCTCACTATGCTCCGAGCTGTTGTGGCACAGGCATTGGCGGTCCATGCGCTTGTGGAACTAGCATCGGCATCGGAGGCATCAGGGGCCAGCCTGTCGGCGGAACCTGAAGCGCTCGGAGCAACACACTTCTTGGTTTCCAAATGGTTCCGTTTCAAAAGCATTGCATTCAAGATCGACCGAGGATCCGGAAACATCCCATGGGGCTGCTGAAGAACCGCAGTGGCCGGAGTGCCCTGCCAGAGCACCGGGGCATGCGGGTTCACCGGCAAAAGGTTCATCATCTGACCATGCCTTGCCAGGGTCCAGAGATCTACTGTTGAGGGCACCCGGCTTGCCTGACGCTGCTGAGGCTTTGGTGTCGTGATGTGTAACCCGTGTAGTGGCTTCCTGAGAGCTTAATACCGCCAGAAATGTCTCGAAACAAGCCGAGGGACGGGTAAGCAACCATTGCTTGGGGGGCAACTGCAGCTTGAGGCATCACGACATAGTAGTACATCATTGGCGAAGCCTTTGGGGGCTCGACCTTGCTCTGAACAATGGTCAGCGAGTCTCCATCCGCGATTTTATAGGAAGAGATGGTTCTGTTGTCTAGCAGCTTCTCGGTGCCGTAGACGAGTTCTACACGCGTCAGAGCGTCCAGATCAAGAGCCACTTGGAGTCTGGAGCAGATTTGTGCGACCGTCTGGTCGGCGTTGATGCGGTTCACTGGCGATTTGTCCTCGGGGCCATCCGGGATCGAGTCGCCAGAGACTGCCAAAAGGTTGAGGGTGATATCCTTGCTCTCACAGGCATCTCCGTATCCGCCTTAGGTACATGCGTCCGCTGGTGTCCATGTAGAACAAAACCCGCTGAACTCATGTCCCTCACCCGTCCTCATCCCACCCTGAAGGGACGTCGGCATTCTCAGCTCATTCCGCTTTGAAGAACCCGTCGAACTCAAGCTGCAAAACCATCCTGGATGCTTACGAAGAGCCTTGCTTGCCATTCTCCGGCACAGAAGGGGGATTGTGGAAGAGCCGTGCAGAAGACTGGTCGGAACTCCCGCCCCATGGCCCCTGAATACATGGCTCTGGACCTGCCAATGGCGACAGAAATTGAACCTGATCTCGGCATGCCTGCACCCTAGACCAACCAATAGCGACAGAAATTGAACCTGAACTCGGCATGCCTGCACACTAGATAAACCAATAGCGACAGAAATTGAACCTGAACTCGGCATGCCCTAGACAAACCAATTGCGACAGAAATTGAACCTGAACTTGGCATGCCAGCACCCTAGACCAACCACTCGGCATGCCGGCGCCCTCGAGAACACCCTGTGCAGTAAATCCTATGTGCCAGCGACTGGGAGAAGCTGAAGGTCTTTCAGCATCCGCATCCACGCCTGTGATCTTGCAAGCGGCCTTGTCGTAATGATTGCCAGAGCCTTTGGTGACGGCATAGTCCCTGGCGAAGCCGCCGCCCTTGCCGAACTTCTTGCCAGAACCCTTTGTGACAGCAAAGTCCCTGTTGAAGTCGCTGCCCTTGCAGAAATTCTTGCCAGAACCCTTGGTGTAGGCGCAGTCCACGTCGATCTCGCTCGCCTTACCCTTGCCCCTCATGTCATAGCCTTTCTTGCCCTTCCCCTTTCCCTTCCCTTTGCCCTTGCCTTTGCCAAAGCCCATTTCAGCCCCGGCTAACTGCACGATGGAGCGTGGGGCTTTGAGCACAAGCGGCTTCCAGAGGAAAAAAATGATTCTGTTGCTGTCGCTTTTTCGTTGAGGGCGTGTGTTGGACTGAGCGTGAAACTCACAAGTCTCAACTTGCAAGCGGTTCCCGGACTACAGTGGCCTTGGTGGCAGATGTCTCCTTGCCTGCTTTCTGATTCGCATAGCAACTGAGACAGTAACTGCCTTTCAAACACAAGCCGAGGGGCTACTCGGAACAGTCGTAATTCTGGCGCAGTCAAGGGCCCATTTCGAGAGCACCAGAATCCTCCCGAATAGCAGGTACCATTGCCACGTTTTCCAGCCTAGGCCAGGCACGAAAAGGCGATCACAATCGGGTGCTTGAAACAGTGTTAGAGAAGTTAGAGAAACACAAGCAGTCACAAGCATGCGTCACAACTTCTCGCCCTTGCGTTGCATCTTTTCTACCTGCCGGTGGAGCTGACTGAGCCAACCACGCTCATCCTCTGCACTAGTGCCGGTGCAAAGGATCCGTCGCTTCGAGCCTGCGGACGAACTTAAATTTCAACCGCTGCCAGTTCCACCTGCTCTATACTCCTACTCCTTCTACTGCTCCTCCTCTTCCGCCTCCTCCCACTCCTACTCCTACTCCAACTCCCACTCATACCAAACCGCTCGAAAAAGACTAGAGACTTTGGGAAAAAGGACCACCGGAGCAAGCCGCTCGAAGGAGAATCGAGAATTTCAGAACAGGGAGCAAACCGCTCGAGAATAGATGGTTTCGAAAGAATCTAGGGCATTTGAAAACAAGGAGCAAACCGCTCGAAAGGAACTAGAGAATTAGAGAGCAATCAGCAAACCGCTCGACAGAGACTAGAGAATTTCGAAAGAGACTAGGGAGTTTGAAAACAAGGAGCAAACCGCTCGAAGGGAACTAGAGAGTTTCATAAGAAGGGGCAAACCGCTCGAAAGACACAAGAGAATTTGAAAACAAGGAGCAAACCGCTCGAAAAGAACTAGAGAATTTGAGAGCAATCAGCAAACCGCTCGACAGAGAGTAGAGAATTTCGAAAGAGACTAGGGAGTTTGAAAACAAGGAGCAAACAAACCGCTCGACAGGAACCAAATAATTTCAGAAGAAGGAGCAAAACGCTCGAAAAAGACTAGAGAATTTAGAAACAGGGAGCAAACCACTCGAAAGGAACCAGGGAATGTCAGAAGAAGGAGCAAACCGCTCGAAAGAGACTAGAGGGTCTCAAAACAAGAAGCGAACCGCTCGAACGAGACTAGAGAATTTCGAGAGAACATAAAGTCAAACAAACAGCAGACCGCTCAAAAGCAACTCGAGGATTTCAGAACAAGGAGCCAACTGCTCGAAAGAGACTAGAAAATCTGAAAACAATGAGAAACCGCTCGAAACGAACTAGAGAATTTCAGAACAAAAAACAGCCCGCTCGAAAGAGACCAAGGAATTTCGAAAGAGACTAGAGACTTTGAAAACAATGTGAAAGCCGCTCGAAAAGAACTAGAGAATTTCGAAAGAGACTAAAAAAATGGAAAACAACTACCAAACCCCTCAAAAGGAACTTGAGAATTTCAGAAGAAGCAGCAAACCGCCTGAAAGAGACTAGATAAGTTGGAAACAAGGAGCAAACCGCTTGACAGGAACTAGGGAATTTGATTTGAGAACAAGGGGCACGCCGCTCGAAGGAGGCTCGGGAATCTCGACAGAAACCTCAGAGTTTGACAACAAGGAGCAAACCGCTCGAAAGGAACTAGAGGATTCAGAAGAAGGAGCCAACCTTTTGAAAGAAGCTAAAGAATTTCGATTGAGCCTGACCAATTTGAAAACAAGGGGCAAACCGCTCGAAAGAGAACAGAGACTTTGAAAACAAGGAGCAAGCCGCTCGACAGGAACCCGAGAATCTCAGAAGAAGGAGCTAATCGCTCGACCGAGACTAGAGAATTTCGAAAGAGACTAGAGAAATGGCAAACTAGGAGAAACCGCTCGAAAAGAACCAGGGAATGTCAGAAGGAGGAACAAACCGCTCTAGAGAATTTCGAAAGACACTAGAGAGATTGAAAACAAGGAGCAAACCGTCACTACCTTCTAAGGGGGGGGGTGTGACATGCCCCACCCCCGTCGCCCAGGCCTGAAATATTTCACCCGCATGGCTTGAAATTTTTCTGATCTGGGGGGTGAGGACACCTGTGAAATTTCAGGGGGTCGTTTTGATGTGACATCATGCGACATGCAGACATGCTTGGCTGCAAGGCAGCTCTCGTTGTTTTCTCGCTGGCAAGCCTCGCACATGATCCCCAGTGCGCTCCCCAGACTTCCAGAGCTCTGCTGCGATTGTCACTCTGTCTATGTGTGTGGGCAGAAAGCTTCCAAACAAGCCCCGGAAAAACGCGCATTGCTAGAACCCCATCCCGCCCCGCTAAGCAGAAGAACACTACCGGGGCAGTTTTTTGGGGGATTGCTTTAAGCGGGCAGAGTAATAACAGAGCCGAGTCTTTTCGTTGCTTTGGCATTCAGGGCCCCTGCAACCCATACCCCCCAGCCATTTGCCAAGGTACTTCCGGGCACCCTCAGTACGAAGGAAGCGCGATGCGTTTACTCCAAGTTCGCTACTAGAGCATTTCAGAAGAAAATGCAAACCGCTCGAATCAGACTAGAAAATATCGAAAGAGACTAAGACTAAGAATTCAAAACGAGGAGCAAACCCCTCAAAAGGAACTAGAGCGTTTCAGAAGAACGAGCCAGCCGCTCGAAAGAGACTAGAGAAGTTCGAGAGAGACCAGAGAATTCGAAAAAAAGAAGCTAACCGCTCGAAAAAGAGTACAGAACTTCAGAACAAGGAGCAAGCCGCTCGAAGGAGACTAGCAAACTTCGAAAGAGACTAGGGAAATTGAAAACCGCGAGCAAACCGCTCGAAAAGAACTAGAGACTTTTGGAACAAGGGGCAAGCCGAACGAAGGAGACTAGTGAGCCCACGAAGGGCGGAAGCCCGAGGCCGGGAAAGGCGCGACAGTGATCGAACCCTGCGAATTCCGGCGATAGCGGCACGTCCGGGTGCAGCCTTGGAAAGAGGCTTCGTGTGGCCTGTCAAAGTGTTTGATGGCTTCCTCGAGGTTTTCGTTGTTCCTTTTGTTCAAGGGCCATTTGAAGCCCCCCCACAGGGCCCAATCAAATCCCCTTGCCGCTAAGGGAAGGCGTTCTTTAAGACCTTTACGTGGCAAGGCACAAGGCGACCTTTTTAAGCACGTTGTGGGGCTAGGAGGGTTTTTATGCCAACATCTCGGGCCCGAGGAATCTGGGGCCAGTGAAAGGCCTGTCGGCTGAGGGGAAGGTTTTGTTTGGTCATGGTCACGTGGCGGGGTAGACGAAAAACCTGTCCTTGGGAGAGAAGGCTTTTCTTTAACCCTATCTACGTTGGTGGAGACGTAAAATAAACCCTTGGACGGGGCGGAGGGCTTTCTTTGAACTCTATCCATGCGTGCTGGAGAAGCTGTGGAGCGCCGGGCCTACCCAGGCCAGAGAAAGAGCCTTTCCGACAGAACCTAGGGGACCAAACAAAGACCCAGCCATTACACTTCTCGCTCGGAGGATATCGACAAAGTGCCTGTGTCAGCGATTGGAGGGCGGAAGCATTGATCCGATCCGCCGGCAGTTCCGACAGCAGCCGGGCTGGACGAGAGGAGAGAAGTGTGAGAAAAGGCAGCATGACCTCGGCTTCATCGATGGCCGAAGCCAGTATTTAGTTGCTGCCAGGAGGTGGTTGTAGCAGTACTAATTGAGCTAGCTGGCTAGATAGTCGTTGTAGTATGGTAGGACCACTAGCCGCCGAGCAACGGTAATAACAGGTTGCTTCAAGTTGCAGCAAGTTTGCAATCACCAAGCCGTTGATCCCCACGTCAACAACAATTGTGAATGACACCATCGGTGGTTTCTGACAGAGTGTGGGCTTTGGCAGACGATTAGAAGTCACCTGCGTCAAGCTCTTCTCACATCAGAGCTTCTGTTGCCACTTAAGCTTCACAGGGAACATCTTAACAAAAAACACATTTTCGGTGTTTGGGTCTTTCGCGTACTCATGAAAAGGGAAGCCGAAGTCACAGACCACACGAACAGGTAGTCGTAACAAGCTCTAAACCCGACAAGGAGGAATCCTGAAGTGTAAACACTGGAAGACAAATTTTCAGGCCCAAAACCCTTGTGAAGGGCTGCTGAGGACGAGGCCGGCGGTTGCCAAACGCTGGCTGAATGGTTCACCTTCAGGAAGTACAAGTAGCAATCGAGGCTGCAACATCTGCATCCGATCTGCAAGGAAGACTTTGGGAGCCGATAGCCCAAGAAGCTTAAGGAGATCCTGCGCTCTCCCCCGAAGTTCCAAAAGCAACCCTCTCCGCCTCCTCATCTCCCAACCCCCTCAGATTAAGAAAGGCCCGTGGAACCGGAAGTCGAACTTCCCACCTCGAAGCCAAGATCTCTGGAGTCCTGCTCCGAAAAGCGGACATGGACCTCCAGTGACTCACGGAGCTTCAGGACTTCGGCCATGCCTCCGCTCAGGTAGGCGTGTCCTTGCGTCCGCTTGTTGGAGGTTCCTTTTCTAGCTTTTTGTGGGATCCCCGCTCAGTCTGTCGACTGGATGAACGAAACCCACGCTCTTTCAGACATGGCAAGAACATCCATCAACCTCGTGAAGGGAAGCACGTGGCCGCGTCTATGGCGCGGTTCAATGAATGACTCTTTGTGCGAATGCCGCAGTACAGGGACCTGAATGCACAGAACAGGGTTTTGCCGTCTGTTGTGCTATAATGCGATAGAGACTCTAAGGAATGCTCTTGCCTTCGTTTCAGTCCAGGTTCCGCGGCCACCATTTACTGCTGGTTTCAATGGGGGCATAATTTCCGGTACCCGTTTCCTAGCAGATTCTTGGTATAAAGTTGCTACTGGGCGATCGGAGTGTATTGCGGGATTTCCGGATGAGCTGTGGATGGGATTTTCACAAGCTCCCGCGACAGTCAGACTCGAAGCCAGCCAGAGCCTCGCCCTGAACCCGGCAGTCGCAGGATCAGGTCTTCCGTCTTGCGAAAGCAACACCCTACCCCCCCAGGTACCTACCAGAGCCCCCAGGGCCCTATCTAGTAGGTACCTGGGAGGTTAGGGACAGATAACTGCACTTTCTTGCAGCTTGCAAAGGTCTAACTTGAGACCGGGCGCTGTAGGTTCCGAACACAACCGTCACCAACCGGTCCAGCGCGTGGCCCAAGTTGGTCCAGGCCTCACTTAAAAGTTTGCAGCTAGGTGCTGTTGTGGAAATGGCGAAGCAGGAGGTTCGGGTTTCGTCAGTCGCTTGGGGCGGTGGATTGACTGAGCCAAGCATCTCGAAACTCCGAAACGACAAGGAGTCCAGCAAAGTAGGATCATCATTAGAACGACATCTAGACTCTAAACAAAGGCGCAGCTCATCTTCTGAAACTCGCAAACGATCTAGTCTCGCAGCGTGCTTGGTCATGGGACATGAAAGAAAAGGAACAGATATCGACCGTTCAGCATGCAAGGCAACAGGCCTTGTACACTTCAACTATCGCAATGCATTCCGCTGTTGAAATTTACAGAAAGCCGTGCTTCGTGTCTCGCCAGCTGGCCTCATCATGATGATCGCACGATTGCAACACTGTGTGCGTCTGTCGCCTAAGCATCAAGCTGGAACGTCGGCTCCAACGAAGACCACCTTGTGCCCGGTGTAGTCCATCGATTTGAGGTCCAGCGGTTGAAGCAGGTGAACACGGTGCAGCGACCATGCCCCCGTGAAGTCCTTGACAAACTCCGGGCACAGCTTAGCAGCTCTACCTGCAGTACGTCCGAAAGTCCGAAAAACGAATTGCAGATCTGCGTCGTAAATGAACAGCTTTTGCTCCTGAGGGATGCCTCCAGGATGCAATGAGAACGAAGGGACAGCCCCCTGGCCTTTTTTTGCCTCCCGCCTGGCTAGGACGAACCTACGAAGCAGGGTCTCACCAGTTGATGACTAGAAGAGCTTCTCCACTTGTTGGAGGCGTATACAGGCTTCACTTAGTGAAGTCGAAGTGTCGGTGTGTTAGGGCATAGGGTTTAATGGCAGAACTCGCAGCAAGCTGCAGGACCGCATGGCCTTGAACACGTAGGTGAAGCTCACCTGAGATCGGAGCAATAAGACCCTGTGCAAAAAGCCGCTATACCATGCGGATCTTCTCTGAGTCACTGCTGTTGGTATGCAGGCACAGGGGAGGCAGTGACATCACGCTGTGCTCCACCGGGATCCTCAAAGATCCTCGGCCCATCACTCTTGACGAAACACGTCAACTCATCCTAAGCCGTGAGGAAATTGACTGAGAACGCTGCGTGGTTGTGGTTCACGGCTCACCATGGCCTTCTGCGAAAACATGCGCAGCTTATGTGCAGGCTGTCGACTGTGGTATATTGCAGCCGAAGCACCGCAGATTTCGGAATGAGATCCCGTGGCACATGGAAAGGTCGGACTGCCGTATCGATTTGGGACATGTATGCATACCTGAGAGCGACAGCTAAAGTCGGGGAAGCAAGACATAACAGCACAGCTACGTGCTTGTTTCAATTCCTCTCAGAAATCACACCCTGTGAACACGCGTGAAGCTTTTCGAGCATTTCTCGTGCTGCCACTTCTTGTTCGACGGGCGGATTGGGTTTGCCCGATGCATTCCGGCAACCCGTGCGTCTCGGACAGGCCAGAACCGTTAGGGTGCGTAAAACCTCACCACGGAGTATGTTCTTGCGAGGCTGCATGCTGTCAAGGGTCTCGATAAGGATAGGCGCAATTTAGCGACTAAACTATACTTGTACGTGCAGGATCCATTCATAGTGGGAATGATGGTAGCAACCAAGCAGACGGAGAAGGAACACAGAGATAGCCGCAACAGAAGTAATTAGTTGACAACAGACTCGCCGAAAGCTCGACTGGACCTCTGAAGCAAAGCAGCCGTGGAGAGTTCGGAGCTGAAGAACATGTCTTCAACAATTTCAATACAAGGCCCCGTGTCAGATTACCCAAGTTGGCGTAAGAGTGCTGATCACATGCACGAGAGAGAGAGAGAGAGAGAGAGAGAGAGAGACAGAGAGACTGCGACTTAACATCGCCACATGCCAGAGTATCGTGTGGTCCGAGGGGTGCAGAATGCACCTCCACTCTCAGTCCCAGATCATGGGATCCGCGCAGTACATATCCGCAATATAATGGGCTAATCAGGAGCCCCAGAAAGAATCCCTATCCGATGAAGAACTCCCCCCCCCATTTTGGCACGATTTGCGCCCAAGTAACATCTCCTGGAACTGCAGCCACCTCGAGTTGGGAACCTGACGGATGCCGCGCAACCCGAGATACTCTATGGACGTATATAAGCACACTATGTGCAGAAGAATTAAGAATGTCGACATGTATGCACATGTATCATCATGTATCTACGGAAACTCGTGCGAAGTTCGTTCGTGTCGGTGTCGATCTGCCTCCATCGTTCTCCATCGAAAGCTTATGTACTCCCTGCACGCACATCATTGCACATATGTCACTTCTTGGAGACGTTCAAACACAAACTGCCTCGTGTTTGCGTGCCCTGGATTCTGGCTATTGTGTTTTGTTAATTTCGCTGATAAGTGTACCTATGGAGATTCCACCTCGGTGGCCGGAGGATACATTCAAAGGCCAAAGCACGACAGGGCGAAGGCTGCGGGTTCCGTGAGCGTGGTCCCCAAGTATCCATGTAACAACTTCTGTGAGCTCAAACGGATGACGAGTAGGTTCTGCTGCAGGTACTGGCCTGCCAGTCATTCCAAACATCGCCTACTCATCAACTGGTTCCGTGCACTTGCGCCTCTTCACTGATGAAACTCTGCAGCGCATGGTCGAAACAGTCCATGCCTGAGGCTGGCAAGACATGGGAAATGCAGGATGGTATACTATAGCATACTATAGTACATTTTAATAGGATACTATAGTATACTACAGTCTACGATAGTATATTATATTATAGTCTGTTATAGGTTTTCCGTTCAAAAAGGTCTCCGAGGGCCCAGCTCATCACCAACATTTGGCTTGCGGCATTGAAGCACTCCTTCGCCGTGGCGGCATCTCCTTTGTGCATCCAGTACCTCACGACCGCCAGTATGTTATACTATAGTAATTGGGGTATATTATATTATACGGTAATCATAGTAAGGAATGTTATACTATAGTAATTGGGGTAGATTATATTATACGGTAATCATAGTAAGGAGCCCCCCCAAAATAGTGTTGGTAATCATTTGGGCAGCTATCATCGCTGTGTCAGCAAGGCTTGTCTCGCGTGGCACAGAAGCGGCAACATGGTCCAGTAATACAGCACAAAAAGCCTAACGGTTCGACACACAACAGCACGAACTACAAAGCCCGTAGCTTCGCAGTTGCCATTCTCTACATAGCAGTCAGGCTGAAAAAGCTTGGGCTTGGGATGACTATCTTGAGCTGTGCAGCTGGCCGCACACCATCGCCGTCACAATGCGCTTTGGCAAGCAGGCAAAATCTCCCAGTACTTGGTCCATCTCTGGCATGACCAACTCCTGCACCAGGCGGGATGGTTTCAGGTTTCGGGTTTAAGGTGAAATTTGTCTTCACCTCTATTCTGTCCCTCTCTTTCGCCTGTCCTGTCACTTGCTTAGCTGGCATACACGGGATATGAGTTCTACACATTCCAGAAATATGGGGGTTTCCGAAAATAGAGGACCCCAATATAGTACCCCAAAGAGCAGGATCCTTATTATAAGGACCCCAAAATAAGGTACCCCTTATTTTCGGAAACTCCCATATGTCTCGAGTCTTGGCTCTGACTCGGCATCGCGTGCCTGAAACGGCACCAAGAACCTGAGAGACAGGCGGAACTAGACTCTGCTGACGGCACTGCGCAGCAAAGAGACCTATACTTGCACAAAGTGTGAATCTCACCATGCAGCCCAAGCGCAGCGGCGAAACCTGCGCCGGGATCAAAGCACTATAGGTTGAATAACAAGCACGGTAGTTCCTGCTAGTTGCTCAGTACTCCCAAAACGACCTTCCAAAACTATCTGTTCACATAAACACCAACTGTGAGTCCAGAAGGCCGAAGCCCTCATGTCGCTTGTTCGGCAACCGTATTCAAGCAAGCAGGGATAAACCCAAAGTTGCTTCCGCACTTGTCTCTGGATGGCTGACCTGCCTTCCTGCCTCAAAGATACAAGGGAAAGTGCAATGCCTACAACCTTCGATTTGCTTCCAGCTGCAAACCACCAGATTTGGTGACATCGCGGGCACCCCTCGAACGACGGACCAGGCAATGATCGCGTGCTTAAAGGATCATGGGACTTAGTAAGTAAGGTTATAAGTCCCGTAATTGGGGCTACAAGTATAGTTCCCCTAATTATAACCCTACTTACTAAGTCCCATGATCCTTTAAGTGTCCAGATCTGATCAGGCCTTCATGAGTTGACAAGGGCTCAACTTCTCGTCGAGAGTCTCCATTTGGGCGTTCCAGGCGTCGTCACCTCTAAACAAGCAGGGATGTGCTGATGTTTCTGTGGCGTGACAGGGTCGGAGTGTTGGCTCGTTTCGAACATCCAGTGCAGTGCCGAGCATGGGGTTAGACCGACCAGAAGGACAACTCTGAAAGCAATTTCAATAGTAATCATGCTAGCTACATTAATCCTTGTCATTGCTGTGTCTGTGTGTGTGCCCGTCTGTCTCTGTCTCTGCCAAGGTCGGCACAGGTTGACCGGGCAGCTTTCTGGACCAACCGAACATTGAAAACGAGGCTTTTTTTTCATACTGGGCCCACGTCTAGCCAGCAGCACGACCTTGACTTAAAACAAACTCTTTGAAACTGAGCTTGAAAAAACAGAAACAAAACTAAGCCCTAAACCTTGCAGAAGGGAGGCCGAGGTCTTCATACTGTCACTCTCCGGAAGGCATGGCATTATATGGTTTTCTACTACATTACTACTATTTCAATACTATAGTACATATTACATGATATCATCTTATCTTATATTATCCAGCACTATAGTATATATTACATGAGATCATCTTATCTCATATGATCTTATGCTCCAGTACATTATGTGATATTTCAGGCCTGAGCTCCCCAACTCCGTGGTCCGCGGCTTGAAGTAAACACCCCAGAAGGTGACGGATTCGCCTCTCGAGCTTCTGAAACTCCCGGATTTTGGGGGTTTAGGACTTTTTTTTCTCCTCCCGCTCCCGGACGAGCCCGGGTTTAGGACTTGGAGGGCTTTGGGTTTAGGGTTTTTGACACTCACACTCGGACAAGCCTGGCAAGGCCTGTAGCGGTTTACACTCTCGCAACTGTTTAGGGTTTAGGATTTGGGTTTAGGGTGTATAGTTAAGGCTTAGAGCACTTAGTACTTCGGGCCGGGGTCCTACAACGACGACTACTGCTGCCTCTCTCTCTTGACTCCGGGGTCCTGAGGTGGATCAGCACAGGAAGCCTTTAGCATCCCCTCAAGGGCAGCTTCAGTGAACACAGCGGCGCCCCATCTCAGGGAGGCACGGAGCAAGGAGTAGTAGAACCTCGGGCTTCCGAGGGCTGAAAGAATGACGAAACGCAGTCCCCCGGGCTAACGCAGGCCGGGGGGCAGCTGGCAGGTGCATGGAGACGCTGCTGCACCTCGTAATACCAAAACAGGCTAGCCCCAAAACCATATGGACAAACAAGTCACTCTTCTGCAACATTCATGCAGAAGGCTGCAACTCTGTCTGCCCCGCAAGAACCGAAACCAACCTTAAAACGTGAACCTGCAATGTCGAGATACCAAGCACATCGCTTTAAAGCCTTTCTGTGTGATCCTGCACTACATTACATGCGATTCATTGCGTTGCATTGCATTACATTGCACTGAATTATGCTCTGTTGTGTTCTGATGTAGTTTGTTGCAACATACCCTTTCATTCCTATACCACACTATACACTACCATCTTTGCTTTGTACTTACATGTCGCTCTGCGACTGCGCACATCTCGGCTCTGAGGCCCCAGGGGCCCCATGAGAGTCGAAGGGCCGGAGTTGATCGCCACCACGGATCTGAAAAGAATCGCCAGCTGCTGCTCCTGCAGATACGTCGGCTGCGTGGCCTCCTGAAACAGGGCTGGAGATTAGCATGCCCGTACTGAGGAGATGTCATAAAGCGCCGTGATACCATAGCTAAAAAAGCGGCTGCTTTTGGACAGATGTCCGCCGGCAATGGCGACCCTCATGCGCAAACGGAGGTGCAGGAGAGTCTGTACGGTTTCACCGCTGCCCGAAGAACACGAACCGAGGTTGAACGGAACACCGGGAAGTGAGTCGGCATGCTGAGGCAGTAGGCAGACGGTGCAACTACGGAAAGCAAATTCAGAACAGTCTGTCTTGCTCCTGGTGGTAGTGGCGGCAGCAGCGGCAACACAAAATCAAAACTAGGTATCACAGACAACAAGAACCACAGGATCATCATTTGCAAGCAATGCTGGTAGTAGGAACACTACTCTGGGCAACCAGCCAAGCCCTCTATCCGCGGCCTTGCGCAGCCAGTAAGTGCTCATGGCACTTCCAGTCTCCCACATCCTTGTGCCGTATTCGGTCGGCTGATCCTGGAACCCGACGGCCTCACAGCTTGGTACCGAGAGCTGTTGATGCTACTCATCTTGCTCCATATCCGAGTGTGGCAATTCTGGGGGAGCTTGTCAAACTCATCGCGTTGATTTTGCAAGAGAGATTGCTTTAGGCGAGCGAGAGTTGGGAGTGTGACTGAAATCTCGTGGGTGATGTACACTCGTCCAGAAACTATGACATCAGTGATGCATCCAGATCCCAGCAAGCAAAGCCAGACCAATTCGAAGTCCAGTGCAATTGCATGTCAAACATGTCAAAGAAGGGCTCCGGCATTCGGCAGTTGTTCAGAAGGAAGTGAGGAAGAACACACTACTAAGTCACACCTCCAACTTTAAACCCGGACAGTGTTGGAGTCTTTCTTCTCAAGCTGCTAACCTTTCATCCGAGATCCCTTAATTCTGAGCATTATGCCGCCCATGGCAGGCCTGCAGGAGGTTGAGCCACACAGTGTAGAAGGCCCGGGTCTGCGACAATGCCTCAAAACAGAGGTTCCGGGCAGGTGGAAGCGGAGAAAAATCTCTGATCAACACCCGAACTTCAGAATCTGCCCTCCTCATATCAGAGTCCAAGCGAGCCAGTCTGCCTAGCTGGGCCTAGCTGCTACATACAACAAGTCGCGCACACACATGTGCATATACATATATATATATATATACACATGTAGATGTAGACAGACAGACATACAGACATACAGACATACAGACATACAGACATACAAACATACAGACATACATACATACATACATACATACATACATACATACATACATACATACATACGCACGTACATCTACATTATGCAATGCAATACCATGCACCACAATACTTTGCATGACATGACATGGCGTTACAATACACTGCATTTCATTACACTGCCCCGTAGATGTTAGTACATGCATGCATACTTTAAGCGCGTACATACCCATCTACATACGTACATACCCACCAACCTATGTTTGTCTGTCTGTCTGTCTGTCTGTCTGTCTGTCTGTCTGTCTGGCCGTCGGTCTGTAGCTATGTATGCATACACGGATGCACGCATCCATGGTGTGCATGCAACACAGCGTCATGTAATGGAGTGTGCTCTACGACATGTGTGTATGTAAGTCACGCAGCGTATGTATCTGTATAGGTATGCATGTAGCAGTCCATATTGAAACACGACCCACCACCCCAACGAGGTCCCCAGGTCGAACCCTGTCCCAAGCCGAACTTGAGACTCGGACTGATGTTTCACGACTAAACCAGACCGGTCCTGGCGGCAAAGCCCTTGCCACATCGAGATGGCCACGTCTCCAATCCTGAGCTAGTAGAGGATAGCACTGAAGAAAGGGTGCTAATCATCTTCCCAGCCGTGAGTGAGGTACAGACATCCGCAGCAACGAGGCTGTTCAAAGTGCAAGGGAACATCGCAACAGACTCCTGAACCCGGAACCGGCATGACCGCTAGTTTAAGCAGACGCACAGGTTAGCTCATATCCTACTGGCAGATACGAGGCTATCCACGCCTCAGTGAACCCATGTAGAAGTTCAAGATCCAACATGGCTGTGACCAGAAAAGTTTCAGTAGATCTGAGCGTGCATGTGTCGTGGTGTGTCTCTTCGCGTGTCTTGGGGCCTGCGCTTGTCAAGGGTCTGGAGAGTTAGACCGTGTTGGTCTCGAGGTGTTGAAACCATGGCAGACTGAGCATGTCGCAGGTCGATCAGGGCCCGTCTTTCTGAAGTAACCTGCACGCGAGAAAAAGTGAATGCCAATGACTTACCTTACAGGAAACCCCAAAGCCTAAACCAAACCCTTAAACGCCGCTGGAAAGCTAATTTCACTGAACTAGCCTCGATGAAGCGAGCGGCACACCTGCAGAGACGAAGCGCAGCAGCGCTGGGCCCAAATGTTCTGCAGAAATGCTGCCCAGCAGCCAGCCAGTTCGCACAAACCGCCTAGGGTCTGCACTCTCACAGAGACAGGCCCATGTACAGAAACAAAGCAGCCCTGCTTGCTTCTCGCAGCGAGAGCTCAGGATCTCACGAAGCACTGAGGCTCTGGGGAGAAAGAGGAGCGCAAGGAAGAACAAACGACCACGTGATGGCATGATCGTGCAAGTTCGAGGAAGGCGCGCGAACGCAAGCATCATGGTGGTCAGGCCGACGAGATCAAAAATGTCATACTCGTAAGAGGGACAATGGTGATCAATGGTGAGTTCCACAACACCGATTGTGACGCTGGTGACGATGATGATGGTATGGAGCGGGAATCTAAGATGACCACTGCTCTACTCACTCTTCTGTACTGGGCCTTAACTCAAGGCCGAGACTCCAATGCAAGTGGCCGCTTGCATTCTCAATGCCTAGGCGAGAGGAGACAGGGAAACTCACCACCACAGTTGCAAACCCTTGTGTGCCAAGTGGCTCTGCAAAGCTCGGGACATGCCCCGGACATACTCCACTTCCTGCGTCGGGTGGACAACTGAAGTGCAGTGCGCTAGTCAGAAAAGCTGAGACACGTTGGAATCTCTGCGTGGTTGGGATTCCCACACACTTGCATCATTCTCGCGATCTTCTGCAAACCCCAAATCTCTAAACTGTACAAGATTTACTGGAAAGACCAGTCGCCGGACGGGTCTCGACAAACCAAAGCCTGAAGGAGTTGCACTGTGGAGGCATGGAGCATACAGCACTCGCTTAGGTACAAACTGGCCGCGAGCGGCCCAAGTTCACCCTTACCTGCTTACCTCAACCTTCCCTGACATTCTACGGGCAAAGACTGCAAGCCCTGACTCTCCGACTTGGGCTCCTCGCGAGCGGAGAATATGGCGTGGCAACGTCTGTTCTTGGCCACAGCCACAGCCAGAGACAATATCTTCATCACCAGCATGATCACCACAAGCATGCTAATCACCGCCACCATTGTTCTGTTGCAATCATGGCGGTTGTGACGACACCTGTCGCTTATGCATGGCGATGAGACAATGAAGTGCCTGCTTGCTAAAACTCCCCCCCCCCCTAAATCAGAATAGGTTTTAAAGGGCGGGGATGACTTCAGGAGGATTGCGTCCAATGTGTGTTTATTATTATTAGGGGGGTGTTTAATAAAAGGGGGAAGCGATTACTCTCACTTCTGCGTCTTGTTCTTGCTGTTCTCAGTATCACCATTTCATGCCATCACCTTCCACTCCTTTTTCTTGTGCCCACGGCTGCCCAAGAGATGCCGCCTCCTCCTCCGGCACAGCTCCCGGATAGTTGGCCAGGTCACCTGAAAGGATTGCACCGGGCAGCGCCGGGTTTTCAGCATTAAAGAGAGGACTATGCTTCGCTTTGAACGCCGAGGCAACTCCTCGTCAATCTGCTTAGGCACTGGTGATTGTGGGTGGGGATAGTCCACCTGAGATCCCGGTGAAGTCACCCAGATAGAAACAATGGCCTCAAAGATTTCTCGTAGCTTCAACGAACACAAGTTTCAACGCTCAACAAATGGGAGTTTCCGAAAATAGCGGACCATAATCTAGTACCCCAAATAATAGGATCATGATTAAGTCCCTGAGAGCAATCTTGGAGGCTTGTGTGGTATTCTATCACTTTCAATAGGATCATGATTATAAGGACCCCAAAATAAGGTACCCCTCCCAAATCACCAACATTGTTCGACTCTCCGGCCCTCAGGCCTCAGCGCCATTGCCCCAAGACCCCGAGCCCGGAAAGCGCAAGCTCTCCGCCGTAGGCCCGGAGGCAAACTTCTAGTCTCTAGTACTTAAAGGATCATGGGACTTAGTAAGTAGGGTTAGAGTTAGGGTAACTATACTTATAACCCCAATTAAGGGCCGTAAACAGCATCACCACCTAAACCTTAAACCCCACCAAACCGGGTCTTGCAGCAAGTCGCAGTATTGCCTGACCCAGCGCACCAAAGGGAACCTGTTTGGAGGTCGTAGCAGAGCTTGGGATTTGGGGCTTTAAGGTTTAGAGTTTAGGGCTCAGAATTTGAACCATTACCTCCCCCCATCCGACCAGCCAAGAATGAGACCCTTCATCATGAACAACATGACATGAAGCCTCTACCGACTACTTAAGACGTCTGCCTAGCTCCACCCTCATTGGCAACAAGCAGGGTTCAAAGTTAAATCCTGTTCCATATTAGCCTCATCTCTGAGTGTGCCATGCCGTGCAATATGCCTCACATTTAGAAGGGGAGAAACCGGAACCGTTTATCTACTGCTTTTGGTAAATCTCCAGTTTTCACTGTTCCACCTTTCCACGTATTGAAGGCTATACACACCATGGCAAACCCCTCAACACTGAACGACGAGTCCTAGGTGAAGCCAGCGAGAGTCCGACCCGGGCCGCTAAAACAACGAACGTAAACTTCAAAACTGGTTTCTAAGCATGCTAAGACCCCGTGCTAAATCGGCGGAGCAACGCGAAATGCACCGCAGATCCGCGTGCTCCTGGGCGGGAGCCTGGTGCAGCACATCCGGCTCCAAAAGAAAAGGCTAGCAGCAATTAAAGAACCCTGCCGAGAGGCTACCATACGTGTGAGTTGGGCATGACCATATAAAAACTATCTGAGAAAAACTGCTGCTGAGCAAGATGGAAGTCTGATATGTTCTGCATGCTTATACCCGCCTTGTTTGCATTCTGCGCCCTGGTTGAGAACTCAGATTCCCGAAAGGACCCATTCACACGTAGCGACTACAGCCTCCGGAACACATGAGAGTTCGGGAAAGTTTATGAACCTGACCCCTCCCTGCCTGAGGGTCCCAGGGGGATCCCAATGGGAGCGATCCCAGCAACTAAGCCCGGCAGCAGCCCCAGCCATTGCATGTTGCGCACGTGCGCGGGCAAGGGCAGGGGCAGGTAGGGTTAAGTGGTGCCAAGGGTCTAGAGAACCCAAAGGGTCCAAGTACTAGTATAGTATATACTTTTGGGGCCCAGATACCTGCTAAGTTACTAAGTACCTACTATAATTACTATAATGGTACAAGTACTTGGACCCTTTGGGGAAGTAAGATGTGGGGTTAGGTTGGGAAGATGCTTCAGTAGCTCAATGGAGCGAAACTTCACGCGGCATTGTGAAGTGCATGTCACAGCTTGGGCTACTCAAGTTGGCGAAGTCGATGGAGGTGGGTATATAGGCCATCGTTTTTTCGAGCGAATGTGCGTGCGGGTCCGTGCAGTTTGCTGTAAACACTCAAGAAGCTTGCTGCCTGAATCGGAGGACATTGCGCCGTCGTTGCATGGAATCGTTGTGCATCCGGATATCTCTTCTTGTGGGCTGCTGTAACAGCTGCTCACACAACACATCCAGCCAAAAAGCCAATCCGAACATGCGGTGTGGAGCACGCAATCACACTGTCGGGCGTCATTTTGTTACTGCGTGCGGTCATACAACCCGGTGGTCACACTGCTTAAAGTGTAAGATAATGCTCGCGGCGGCGCGCCACAGATCTTCTTCGATTAGATGCTGCTGATGGAGGACTCCGGGCACAAGGATGATGCCGGGTGCCTCTGAGACGTCGGACTGGCGATCGCTACTCACAGCCTCCACTGGGTCTCCAGGTGGCGAATCTTGGCATGTCATTCGTCATCCTGCCTGAAAGGGAGGCTTCAGGTCACATGCCATGACATACAGTCGCAACTTTTGTCAAGATGTCTCGGCCCTTCTTCCACTAATCGCTTCCCCTTTTTATTAAAAATCTCCCCAAAAAATTAAAACGCAAAGGGACGAATCCTCCCGAGATCATCCCTGCCCTTTGAAACCTTCAGGCTCCAAACACCCTTAGAGCACAGTACGAGCAACAGCAAGAGCAGGAGTTAGAACAAGAGCAGGAGGGGGAGTAATAGCAAGAGCAGGAGCAAAAGCGGGGTCGTTTTGCAAAAGCAGCAGGTGCAGGCGCAAGAGATGCAGCAGAAGCAGGAGCAAAAGCCAGCGCGGGCGCAAGAGCCAGAGCAAGACCCCAGTAAAGATCAAAATGCCCCCTGACTACAAAACTACTTTCCGAGTTTTTAATTGGGCGGGCCCTCCAGTTACCCGTTTACTATTAGGGGGCGGGATTAACTTGTTGAAGTCGGTTGCTGGATTGTTGGTGCGATGAAGATGACGATGCTCACACCGACAGCATGCTCCGTTCTCTGCATCCAAGCGATAGCTCCTGGAAGTGCTCGTGGCTTGTGGAGTGTTGATATTGTCGTAATAAGCTTGCTGATGCCACAAGCTACTGTTGTATGCTCCTGTATAGCAACTTGAAAAGATGCTAACGGCCTGCATGCTGCCCACCCGACCCTCCGTTCCAAGAAACGAATATCCAGAACCTGAACAAAACCTTGGTTAACTCCAAATCATCAGCGTAATGCCGCCAGGGTGCGCAGCCGCCAAGGCAGTCCGGATCGAGTTTGCAGAGGGGTGCTTGTCACCGGCAGCTCGCAGCGCTCGGATCACCACATCCTACGCGCGCTTGTTGGGGCAAGTCCCTTGATGTGCATGTCGGGCCGAAATATATCAGCTCACAAGATACCAGTAGGATCAGTAGCAGCATGCAAGAGCTGTTGACCTGATGCCACCCCTAAGACCACAACACAAAAATCGCCAAACAGCGACCTTCCAGGAACTTCGCGAGAAGTCCAAAGCTAATCCAACCTCCAACATCATACACCTCTGAGATCCAGAATCGACCAAGTGTCCTCATTGATCGAGACTTTCGCCTGCAGTTGAAGCACGGCATGAGAGACTTACCAGCAGTAGGGTGTCAAACGGCCTTCTTCAAGCCTCTTATGTAAAGACACTTTCTGAACGCCGAAACTGAACAATGCGCGTCTTTGTCTTGTCCTTCTCTTGATCTACCGCTGCTGCTTCTCCGACATCGAGAATGACGACTACGACCACGGCAATGACGACGATGACGCTCACTGCTAAAACACCACCACCAGCAACACCACTACCACCAGCAGCACCAGCACCAGCACCAGCACCAGCACCAGCACCAGCACCAGCACCAGCACCAGCACCAGCACCAGCACCAGCACCAGCACCAGCACCAGCACCACGACGACGACGACTACTACCACTAACTACCGACCACGACCCTACGAAAACCTACCTCTATCACAACGTAGAAATGGAAACCATAATCAGGAGCCCCAAAGAGGCAGGTCTCTCAGGCTCATCCCAATATCGCCCCAAAATACTAGGTCTAGGCTACAAAACCATCATCCTGAACCCAAGCAAGCACTCCTCAGCACCCAATAATCAGGCACCTCGACACCGCGAGTCATGCTGCCAGGTTTCGGGTTCAGGGCTCGGGGGCACTGGATTCTAAAATGCACTCACATTGAGAAGTTATAGGTGCGCTTTGGACCATTGCTATCACCACCACCGTCCACCACCGCAACCAGCACCGCGCCGACGACGATCGCTTGGCAGATCGGCCTCTTTTTCGTCGCAAGGCCCAGGGAGTCAACGACTGCAGGCAGATGAGAACAGGAATTGTGCGACCTGCCGTGCTCAAGTCGCCCCAAGCTTCTCATCTTCCATGGTCGCTGGTCATTGCGGTTTGCACCCCGGCGATACCGGATAGACCATGCCCTCTTCTCTGAGGCCATCCGTCTTGATCGTCGAAGGGTTCCTCAGAGGTGCTGCACCGTCGGAACCCGGCCCAGGCTCTTTTGCTTCTGTTGGCGCTGGAGGGCTCGCCACCATCTCGCGGCTGGCGGTGTCCTGACTTGGCGGGAAACGGATCAAGTCTGCTTCCTTGTAATTGGCGCGAGTGATCCCTATTCGCTCGGGCACCATGAGCGGCTCGAAGACCATCTCCATAAACACCTTCTTCTGTTCGGACTCCAGTGCAAAGAAGTCGCTCCTCTCGAACTCGCTTCTCTGCCACTTGACCTCCGGCTTCGTCGCGTAGGCTTCATAGTTTGACTGCAAAGCGTACAGGGGATCCTCCCATGTCCCTGTCCACTTCTGCCGCTCCCGGCCCTCCCTGGGCTCGGAAGATGGCACCCGAAAGGAGTTCGGGGGCTCTTCGGCTTTCTCCATCTTTTTCTCCTTCATGGTCTCTTTCGTACTCTCCGCGGGCTTCGGCTTAGGCTTGCTTTCTTGGGGGACATCCTGCACCTTTGACACATTGACGAGAAGTTCAACGAGTTCAGCAATGTCCATCTTCAAGTCCAGGTTCACGCTTACGCTGAGTAGCGGTCGGCCTGTTACCGGATCCAGCTCGGTCTTTGACGTAGGGGAGGTGCCAGTCGTGAGAGTCAAAGGCAGAGACCCCACTGCCATAGTGACAGCCGGAGTGCCTCCACGGCGCCACCGGCACCCCGGCACAATGGGCCCTACAGCTCTTGAGCCAAGATGATGGCAGCCTTGACATCATATCATAACCAACAAAGCCCAACATGTCAGTCAGTCAGTCGCCTGAACAATTAAATTTCGGAGAGTCCAACGTGCGAGTTTTCCAAACAGTGGCCTACATGTTCTCGGGCCTTCCTGGGACTTTGGTGTTAACAGCCCATTCCACTGTCACTACACGCTTCACCAAACGGCTAGCACCACCTGCTGAGGTTTGCCACTACTGGCCTCAGCACTTCTTGGTGCTCTCAGCTGCAGCACTGGTGGAATCTTCCGTTTCATTGTCCTTGTAAACAGAAGTCTCGGAAGATAACACTGGACCCCCAAAGCAGACCCGGACTTCAATAAGCTCCGCACAGCCCTCATCTTGCGGTAGCAGGGCCCCAAACATGCAGCAACAAAGGAACCAAGCAAGTGGGGTTTCTGAAAGTACGGGACCCTAATATAGTACCCTAAATAATAGGATCCTTAATATAAGGACTCCAAAATAAGGTACCCCTAATCTTCGGAAACCCAGAAGTCCAGCCTGCTTGAGCGCGAGCCCCACCACTTCTGGGGGCGGCTGGCCCAATCCGGGTGCTGCTTGCAGGAGGGCCTGGGCAGGTCTCCTAGACTAGACGAGGTCTGAGTTCATGCGTTACTGCCCCAGTGTAACCATAGAGTAATTCAGGACAACCCTGCCCATAGCTGCCAATTGGAGCCACGGTTTTCGTGCAACCGATTTCCTTGCACGGGTCCCGGAATCAAGTGGTTGCAACGGGAGCGACGGTCCCGCGGTTCTGGGTCTTCTTGGTCTTGCCCCCACAACCAAAATGCATGTGTACATGTGTATATATATATATATATACACACGCTCAGATAGGTAGACAGACAGATAGGTAGCCAAATAGCTACAGTAGGTAGCTGGATAGCTAGATAGACAGACAGACAGACAGATAGGTAGATCTGTATCTATAACCTGCGTACACACATGTGTATATATATATATATGTGTGTGTGTGTGCTGTCTTTTTGAGTTATATGTGGGCAGTTGCATGCAGGAGTGCATGCCGTTATGACAATCAGACAATGCCAACCAGATCGTTGTGTGTACGTGTCTACATCAACCCATATCTCTACGTCTCTGTCTCTGTCTGCCCGTCCATCTCCGTCCGTCCATCTGCCTCTGCCTCTGTGTCTGTCTCTGTGCACGGAAGAGTTGGAGTGGACGATGCGTAAAGAATCTTTGGGTTGCGACATCCTTTGAAGCGTCAGGGCTCTCAAGTTCGTTAGAACACGGCTGAGGGGCAATAAAAATATTTGTAACATGTAGGTGTGCAGGTGCTTATATATGTGTCTATGTATGTATGTATGTATGTATGTATGTATGTATGCTATATATATATATGTGTGTGTGTATGTATTTGTATGTATGTACATATTTTTATATACACGTATATGTTTGTTTGTCTGCATGCCCGTAGTCAAACTACATGAAACGGAAAGAAGCCGTGATTTATGTCGTGTGTGAAGTAAGGAACTACAATGCAATTTACTGTGATGTAGCGCAACGTGACGTGAAGTAACTTCTGTATGTGATGCATGTATGTAGGTATGTCGGTATGCAGGTCTGTATGTCTGTATGTACGTACGTCGCAATGTCGGTATGTAAGCATTTAGGTACTCACTCACGCGTTATGCATGTGTTCATGCGTGTATGTATGTAGCATATATGCATGTACGTTAGAACGTATGTTGTATGTATGTAGTATGTATGTATGTATGTATGTATGTATGTATGTATGTATTTGCTGTATGTATGTCTGTATGTCTGTATGTCTGTACGTATGCGTATATATAAATATACCCTAGGGCATATATGCAGGTATATCTAGGTATATATGTACGTGTCTACAGATCCTGCCAAACACTCCCTGCAAATGTCGAGGCACCTTCATGAGATCTTCTGGCCGCGCCTCGCTTCCTGGCTGTGGGGTGGTCTCTGCCCCGGGTCTCGTCTAGAATGCCCCTTTCTGTGGGCATGTCGCCAGCCAGGAGTTGATGACATGAAGCATGCGGAAACCTTTGTCCGACCATCAACCTGCACGGAGCGAGTCTGCTAAGATTTTGTGCTATTCCTTCAGCTATGTACAGAGCACAAACTTCTGCTGTTCCGCGGTTTGCTTCCTCCGCTGTCACCGCACCCAGCAAAACAAAAAGAATAGCTTCAACAACAAAGCCCTGTCTTGCACCCAGTCCTCCGCCGGAGGCCTGCCAGGCTCAGGGCAATGCAAGACTCGTGGTTGGAGCTCGGCACACGTGTTGAAAGGATAGCACCGACGGATGCCAGACTGACATATGAATCTTGTAACCGATACGTGCAGAATAGTCGACGCTTCTCTCACTCTTTTGGGAAGGAACACCGACGTCACATGTACGACTTGCATCTGGACTCGCTGAGTACCCCAGCTCGGACATGGAGTGCCATATCAAGATGATTCCTTCACTCACCCTAACCACCCAAGTACCTACTATACAGGGCCCTAGGGGCTCTAGTACCCTATATAAGTAGGTATTTGGGGGGGTTAGGGTCAAGCAAGGAGAGTGATCCCAGCGGCTCTGTGCGCTGCCGGCTTACACTTTTGCGAAGCACGGCAACCGCTCATACGACTGTTGACGCTCTTTAAGTTGTCCTGCATTTCTTCGACATTGACTCAGATGTGGTTAGAATAGAACTCTTGGTTTTCTCGTGGGTTGAATAACGAAAAAGTGTTCGCTAAAGGGTTCTTGCTCTCACCACCTTGCATGCTTGACTTTGGGGCTGGGGCCACGGCTGTGGCTCATTGGCTCGCCGGGGTTCTTCTCTTCGGCTCTTGGTTTCCGTGGAAGCTGTTTGATATGCAGTCAGGAATTCCCAACAGTATACAGCTTAACACTGGATAATGTGTGCTACATGACAGTCTGGTAGACAAAGCCAAAGACATAACGTCATTCTCAAAACCACCGGCCCCAGTGAAACCCTGGTGCCTTTGTCGAGGGCGCCTTCGCCCTGCTGCCGGTGCTCGGTCCCGTTGCCATGGGAACATCCGGGAAGGACGGGTAGCCTTGGGTTTCTCGTCAGAAGTCGGAGGCAAAAGACTTCCGAGCCCGATGATGTCCCACATGACCGGTGGGAACTCTTGCTCATCAAAATCAAGGTGAACCCCCCAGAACGATCAGGCCATGTACGCCGGACTAAACTCTTTCGGCCCCAAGTACCTTCAATAGGGATCTTGGCATCTCATGCTCCTTATGAAGGGGCATCCAGGCTAGATTACGGGCTGCCTTTGAGATATCCGTTGGGGATCTTTTGGGTCTTCGAAGCATAACTTCACAAAAGCTCCATGCAGCAAGCAATTTCAGCCCCAAGTCTATGCAAGCGCGGAGCCATCGCCCGGACCTGCAGCGCTGTACTGGGCAGCAGCAGCCCTTGCTGCAGTCATGTCCTCGAGGGATGCCAGGATGTGCAAGCAAAAGACAAACCAGGCTGATGTTCTCAAAACGTGGCACAACAAACTGATGAACACGTCCTTGCCACAAAAACAGACCAATAATGATTTCAATGGGGCGAAGCGCTTTGAAATAGTCACCGAGTCACCGGCAGGCCTCAGAAATTAACTTGAACTAGCCCACGCTGTAGTAGCCTGTGTCGTGAGACTGTGCCCGGGGCTCTCTCCGCATGCAACACAAGCCACCTGAACACGGCCCCTCAATTTAAGCGAACCACAAGTGTCTCTCGTGCCACACTCCGGCCCAAACCACCCCCCCATGATAAACAATTACAAACATCGTGCTCTCTCTCTCTCTCTCTGTCTCCCTCTCGCTCTTCTCCTGGCTGCTGGGTTTGGAGCTACCGCCCACTGCTTTGAGCGCCTCAGCGGGGACCGAAAGCTTTTCACGCCCTGCTTTCATACTTCTAGCTGGCATGCGCAGCACCGCGGAAAACAAGTGGGGCTGCAACAAAGATTGCGACAACACCGTCCAACCGCTTCTAGTGATTCAAGCGTTCTGCTTATCTACCCCCCATGTCCAAGCAAGTACCACCCAACAATGCGTGGTATAGGGTGTAGGTTATCCAACAGGTTGCAGTTTGAAGCCGATTTCATGCATTCGATGAGGGAGGCTCAAGATATCGGCAAAGTTCTGTCGCGACAATGACAAGGACTTGCGAAGGAAGCTGCCCTGCAAACTGCTTCCTTGCCGCAGCCTATTCTGTGCCAAGTACTTACCTTTCCGGCGACATCATATTCATCTGCGAACTGCTGCCCGAGAACTCTTTCCAGATTCTCTTCCGTGGCCGGAATGCCCGCGGCTTTCAGCGCTGCGCCAACAATCTGCAGACAAAAGGGCAGCAAGAGGTGTGGTGCAAGTGCTAGACTCAGAACCCCAGCTCACGAACTCAAACCTTGCTGGCGTGTTGGCCATGCTGCAGTGCCCCAACTTACATACAGTTGCAGTCACAGCCTGAAAGATGACATGCTGCATGAATTGGCTTGGACCCGGTCGTTTGCGGGACTGGGGCGATTTGGCCTCGGGGGGTGGTAACCCAGCATCAGGCACCACCTGCATCAGAGTCCGAACCACGTCCTCAGCCCGGGAAGCGAGGTAGCCTTCTTAACGTGTGTGTGTGTGTGTGCATGTATGTATAATAAGTGTGTGCATCATAACATCTCTCTCTCTCTCTCTATATATATGTGTGTGTGTGTATGTGTAAGTATATGTACATATGATTCATATGCGAAAATAAATAAACTCACTCTCTCTACATACATACATACATACATACATACATACATACATACATACATACATACATACATACATACATACATACATATAGTTTTTATACCTATAGGGTCATACCCTACCCCTTTTTTACGGTACCTAGTTTTTTACATAGCAGATCCTAACCATAAAACTAGGTACTTTAAAAAAGGGGTAGGGTATGACCCTATAGGTATAGTATAATATAACATAATATAATATAAGATATGTATATATACACATGCATATATACACATACATACATATCAATATATTACTGTATATATATATATACAACATTATATATTCTGACCCAGGAATATGCCAACCAGGCCCGATGAGAGGAACATGACTTGCAAGCTGATATACACGGGCGGAGCCGGAAATCAGCCCGGTCGAGTCTGCGGATTGGAGTTCATAGGGGCTTACGGCTGACCAGGTCAGAAACCGTAAACCTTAAACCCTAAATTACTGCACCACGAATCCGCACTCCGACCTGAAGACGCAAAGAAGCCTTCAAGGAATTCTGGCATCAGCTGCGGTGCCACTTCGTCTATCGGCTCCATCTTTCTTTAAATGCCGAGCGGAATATAACGCAATAAGAGACAACTCCAGTTGTATGAGAGCCTCAACCATTTCAAATACCGTTCCTCGACACCTCTTCATGATCATGCTTCGTGGAGTCTACCTCGATCTATGCCCCATGACGCTGTTAGAACTGGGCCCGACATCCGAGCCACTACACTACAAGCTTATCAATCCCGCCCCTATCTTTCAGTCCCTTTGAGATGTCCTCCGGCGTCTTCGGCGGAACGAAACTGGCAGGGCACGACAAGGGGGCCGGTGGTCTTGCGAGGGGGCTTCTTGTCTTCTAGTGATTCTAGTGTTCTCATGGCTACTTCCGGCAAGTGGGAAGCGCAACTAATCTTGGCTCGTGAGGTGCCTCTTTGCAGTTACTAGGATAGCTCGAAAAATCTGAACGATCTGTCTGGAAAGCTTGCCAACGTTCCATGTGATCTTCGTCTCGTTGCAAAATGTTCAGCGAGAACCTGCTCTGCGCTCGATCGAAGCGTCGCGCAGAAGGGGCCACAGTACAGGGCAACTGTCGAAGCCAAAATCCTTTGTTGCATCCGGCTTGTGACGCTTTTTGAACGAGGTCTCTCTGAAGTACCTCCAAGCTGCCCGCCTCATCGGCTTGGAATACCCTTTTTTGCATCAGGTTGTGCAATCGCCTGAACCAAGCCCTAAACCCTGAACCCGAGACCACAGAACTACACGCAAAGCAAAACCCTAAACCCAAGGGCCTAACTCCTGTAATTGTATGTCCTGTGCACCCTCACCACCAAAATTGGACGCGCCTGTCCGGATCGAAGCCATTCAGGCCGGTCATTCGCTGGTTCATTGCCACGTCGGGCATACCCATGCGCATGCTCTCCAGTATCCGCATCGCCTGCTGCGGAGCTTCACACAACTCGGACTTGCTAGATGAGGTCTCAAGGTCTCGCCCACGACGACTGCGGGATGCTTTTGCTCCTCGCTGCATGAGTCGAGGTTGACCTGGCGGCCCTAGCGGCCTTACCCTGTCGGCTTACTTTGGCCCTTCTTGGATTGTCATGCACGGTGGAAGACATCCGTCGCACTCACACAGAACCATGAGAAAGCGTGAGAAGTCCGGTCGTCTTCACACTAGTCCCCCAATCCCAATCCGCCACGAGCACCCAAGTGTGAGTGTCGATCATAGTGCCGGCATGCGGGCTCATCCGACAGGGTGCAACAACTGATGGATCGAAGCAATGACGAGAGATGTCACGAATTCTGCATGCTGGAAGGCCACAATGCAGTTCAGCATAGCACGTCAGCGGGTCAGACAAGTCTACCTCATAGCTCAACCCCGGGCACCTCCTTGACTTGAGCACCTGACGATCCACGTCGTGCAGATCTGACCTTCGCCTCCTCACAGCCAGCTTCGCTCGTGGTGGGTGCGGAGTCGTTGTGGCGGTCGGTGCTGGTGGGTGCAGCCGTCGTGGTGGTGGGTCCAGGAGTCGTTGTGAGTCGTTATTGTGGTGGGTGCAGGAGTCGTTGTGGTGGTGGTGGTGGTGGTTGTAGTGATTCTGACTATGCAGCATTCGGTCACATTGCAAGGCCCAACACCACCATGGCACAGGAGTTTTGTGTCGGCGCTCCCGAGGTGCACACGACCCCTTCGCAGGTTTGCAGGCAGCAACATGCGCTGGCACAGGTCCCAGGAGGGCCACACTCAACGGCCTGCTTGGTTGGGTCAGGGATAACGCCATTGCAGGCCCGGACATTGCGACTGCGTGTTATCGACGATGTCCGCTCGATGCATAAACCCAATCGATGATGCAGCCCCGCACAACAAATACTCGAGCTCGGCTCGGGGAGGTACGTGTATGTCAACTGTCAAATTCGCCAAAGACCCGACCGCACAAGTGTTTCGCGACCTCCTCCGCATCGCTGATGTTATCGCCCGGAAACGGAATCTGTGGGATGTCACAGGCAGGAGAACGAATTGAGACCCGGGCTCGGGTCGTCGCACGGTGCATCTCCCCCAAAATCGCCTGCTTCACAAATCTGGCTACCGGTTGAGTTGACGCGGCCGGGCATGTTGCTGGTAGCACCAAGAAGTCCGCAAATGTCATTGCAATTGTTTCCATTGCCGCTGTTGACTTTGACGGTGCACTGCTTAGGTCCGGATTCGAGAAGTTGGTCGCAATGGGTGCGTCCGGCCCACAGAACTGAAGTAGGTCGGGCCCAGAGCCAGCATTCTGCATTTCGATGGGATCTGCTGCCCACTCGCAATGCTCGGTCAGCTCGTTGGTGATTCCCGGTGGTTGAGGTGGCACGTAACCAGGACAAGCCGGCGAGACCAACCCACCATAACTGTTGCGCTGTTCACAAAGCTCTCGATCTGCCCGCTCGCATGGACAAAAACCTGCTATTGTCGCTTACGAAGCTAGGGAACAGCTGTGGGGAACCACAAATGCCGGTGTTCTGCGTCACGCCCACTCGTGACTTCACCTTGGCGTTCAGGAGGTAGCCGGGCTTGAAGTTGATCGGCTATCCGATGATGCTGACGAAGTTACATCGATCGCCGGTCTGCACGATGATTCCGCCGTTCTGCAGCTGCCGCGTGGAGATTGCGCCTGTAGGCGACAGCAGATTTTCCAAGCCAGCACTTACTTCCACGAACGTGTCGTTGACAAAGACAGTGCCCGAAACAGAGCAAGTCTCATTGTTGATCACAACGTTGTGGACGCCGAGCCCTTGGTAGTCAAAGCGGCCAAGGCTTCCCCAGGTGTCTGTGCAGTGCGGATCTCCCCAGAATTGGCGGGCTTTTACATCGCAGAGAGCCTGCTCAGTCGAGCTGCCTTGAACTGAAGGCTGTGCTGTCCGGCTGGCAGCCCAAAGGAGAGTTGCAATGAACAGCATCTCTCTTCAGAAGACAGCAGGTGCATATCGTCACGTCTCTCTTCAGAAGACAGCAGGTGCGTATGGTCAGGGACTTGATTCAAACTCGAGCCTAAACTCCCACCGAAGAAGGGGAAGAACATGCCCTAACTCACATGTGGCCCCGTTTAAGCAGTGAAGCTACGTACAAGCTTGGCTGAGCGTTTGAACGAAAGGGCGCACCTGGACAGGCTTCTTCATCTGCGCCAGAGCGTTGTTGAAGGTGATTGCGGGCGTCGACTGGGCACGGCATGTTGAGCTGAGATTAAAGGACACCTACAAACCCCTGCTCAAAAACCCTAAACTTCCTAAAAACTCTTCAAGGATCCCAAGTAGGCTTTGCTCAAAAGTAGCCGTCAGGGAATTCCCACCGGTCCAACTGCTAGCATCTTGCAAGATGCCAACATCGGGATGGTCCCTCAGACTGCTACTTGGGCTATGGGCGTTGCCTGGCCCCGGCCGATATGAGTGCCTTCATGTCCAGATTTTCTTAACCATATTCTCCAGCTGCCTGTAGCACACTTTCTGGTCAAGGTTTCTGGTGCCACATCGAAACTCCATGTGCGAAGCCTGCCGAGCCCCAGCCCAGGAAACACTGCCGCCGAAGCTGTAACAAGGCCCGAGCGGGCGTATTGTACTTGATCTCCTGCCAGCTCTCCACTGCACTGCCACACACGCGACCATGTGTGCAGTCGTGCGAGCATAGGAAACGGATCATGTAGTGAGTAATGCCCCAAGCAGGTTGCGCGGGGATGCCCGCAGCTACACAGCATGCGCAGCGAGGGTGTCCGGCATTGGGCGATCGGACTTCCTTAATTACCGACACAAGATCTGCCAAAGGCTGCCAAAGCTTTGGTCCGGGCTAAGACCGGGGCTCGCCAGCAATGGGGCTTCCCGGCTGGCCATCCATGTCCTTGACAGGCTGGGCCAACTGACAGGCGCATATGCATCATGAATCATGCAAGTGCGGCCATCTTCTCGGTGCACCAACGACATATGTTTGCCTTTCACACGACAAACCTCTCATTATATATGTTTATCATTGTTCAGTGCCACAACTACAACAACTACGACTGCTACTGCGACTGCTGCTGCTGCTGCTGCTACTACTACTACTACTACTACTACTCCTACTACTACTACTACTACTACTACTACTACTACTAACCACCACCAAACCCACTACCGCCGCCACTACCACTACCAAAACCACTCCCAACACGGTTATCCTGCCTAATGATTAATGCGAACGCTATGCTGCCACGTGGTTGCCACACAAACGTGAAAGTGGACTGCTGATGCTTCTGAGGAGAATGACTGTCGCAACTAGTCTTCAAAACCCCTAAGCCCGATCGAACCCAAACTCCTTCCGATCAACCTCAACACTAAACTTTCAACTCCCAAATATTGAAGCTACCCTTGTCGCACGGATCGTCTCAAACCTGGCAAGAATCTCTGAGGCCCGGGCCCGTGGCAATGCCTGGTAGGAGTGCGCGCCGGTGCGGGCCCGGTCTAGATCCTGCGCAATATGGTGGCGTCGTGAGGATTTATACGGGGTCCATAAAGGTTCTATATTCAAACAGTTTAGGAGAGAGCGTTGAAGGAATGACTGAATGCATGAATGGATGGATGGTTCAATGGATGAATGAACATGTATGTGCGTATATATGAGAACATGCAAAACACCCATACCCGACATTGCTGCTTGTATCAATAGTGTCATTAAGAACTATGAAACTTGTAGATTATAGATTATGAAGTTGGATGCAATTTGATCCCCATCTGTATACCGATTCCAGTCGTGCTCGGCCCGACAATTCTCAAACGAAGCTTGTCGTTTGCGACATACTTGTAGGAACGCCTGCAAGGCCTTAGGGCTTCATGATATGTGTCCCGTGGAGACAGGGCATATCATACTTAAGATTTCAGGATCCTTGACCAAGGCGCAACGTGAACATGTCATAAAGGGCTTGGAATTTGCCTAAGTCCGCCAGTATCTTGGAGCTCGCATCGGGCTCGTCTCCTTAAGAAATGGTCAGGCTGGGCTAGTGACTTGGAGGCCGAGGAAGAATGCCTTAAGGGTACCCTGGATTCTGAGGTTGCAAAGGTCCTTGAGGGTATGCAGTCGCGTCGTATGTCTGTTATACTAGGTGTAGAGCACTAGTGTTATAGGGACCTTCATGGTCAGTACGGGGTCTTGGGCCTGGGGCGTCTACGCCAGCATAGCCTATGTAGGGCCGGACTATACGGTCAAACTAGCAATTACTAGTTATCCAGACTCTCATATTATATGAAGCTAAGACCAGGCTTGTGGGGCACTGCAGGCGTCGTTATCAAGATCAGGGTTGATGGGCGGATGCCGAATGATAGCATGTGCTGCTAAAGACTTCTGCCAACGACGTGCAATGACTTGATTCCAGAGGGCGAAGTTGATACTCGCACACACACACACACACATAATGAGTTTGATGACAAACATGACGGGTATCGGCTCCGATGCTCAGATGCATGGTTCAACAGAACCGAGTGGTTTCGCTCGTGCCGGTTATGGTTTCGTTTCGCCTGCAGACCAGGCGTTTTTGGCATTGGTCTGGATACAGATCTCATTTTCGGCATCCACCTCGCACATTGTGACCAGGGAAAACTCAAAAAAAAAACACTGACAGAGGCAGTAACGATTGCCTCCGTCTTCTAGGAAAGGACGGACATAGCTCACAGAACCTTTGTAAAGCCCCATAACTATGGCTTTCTAAAATCCGATACGCTCCTGTTTACATAGGCCTGATTGGAGCAGCTCGCCCCTAAACCCTATAAACCAATGAACCAAAACCCTTATGAACCAACCCTAAACCCTAAACCCAAAACCCTAAACCCTAAGGATTTATGGCCCCTGTCTCTTCGCCTTGGGAGGTTTCCCGCAGTCCTCCTTCCTCGGGTTCCCTCCTCGAGCACCCGCCGCCTGTCCGGCCAGGAGCCGTTCTGCAGGGGTTCTGAACAAATATAGGGGCCTGAAAAGTTATGATAGGATTTTGGCGTATAGTAGACGATAATAAAGAACCATAATTATGACAAGGAGCCTCAAAATGGTATTGGTAACTATTTGGGCCCCGGGCGTCAAGGTCATCGCATCCTTGCGCGAAAAAACAGTGTCCACAAATAGTGTTTTCGAGAAGTATAGACGCGATTTAGCTTTCCACACTAGACATAAGGGACTGTAGAAGTCAAGTGTAATTGCTGTACTACATAGAATCGCTTTGATGGATGCGCAGGTTCTTCCAAGTCGTATATAAGGAGTCTGGCAAAAGTAGCAGAAGATTTCAGCACGAGCCGATAACAGTCTGGCATGTGACCTAAGCACAAAACATGCGTTTTACCGGCAGCTGGTATTAGACCTGCTAAACGTTTTGACACATGTAATCGGCTTCTTTTGTCGTAGGTCATCCTCATGCTTGCGTGCATATAGTTCCACTTCTGGGTGATTCTGATGCACCTTACGATGCCAAGGGTGAGCCATAGAGCGATTGCATAAGTGCTACACGTAGCTAAATCACACAATCTCACCGTGCCGTGGTCCATGGCCCTTGAAGAACTACGCGGACCTGTCATCGCCTTTGCTACTGTCCCCACTGGTACTAGGAAGAGGAAAGGATGCCAAACCGACCCTTCATGAAAGCATCACGATAGGAGCCCTAAGTCCTAAAGTTGGCCGACGAGCACTATTTCCAAAACTTCCCTCCCGCACGTCTTGAGAGGCGACCTCCTGAAGAGCCCGTATCAGGTTCCTGGGCGTGCTGCAGAGTCAGGCGCGGGGTCGGGGCAAAGGGGATAGGGTTTTGCAGTTTGTTGGCTTGGGGTTGAGGTGGGATGCAGGACTGCAGACTGGAAAGGTCGATGTCGATCAGATCGAACGGGGAACGGTCGAGTGCTTAAAGTTAGGCTTAGGGTCACATAGGGCTATATGTCTTTATAATGGTCATATCCTACATCCGCAAACCCAGTTCGGTGCTTGAAAACTGGTCTAGTCTGATCTGGCTTCTGGGTTGAGGGCAGTTGAGGGTGCCTAGATCTCGCAGCAGCCGGGTGAACAGAGAGGTCCGTAGCTCTGGAACGTGTGCCGAAAAGGAGGTTAGCTCCCGCATTACCAAAGACGCCGATGAATATGCAACTGCGAGCGTGTTCACAAGCCCGAGATGTTCGTTTGGGATTCCTGGTTCGACCAAGCGTCTGGTCAGTCGCCTGGACTCCCGCTGCCTGGCTCGGTTCAACTCACTGGTGCGGATACCAAAAACCGTCGGGTACTCTTGAATAGTCTGTAGGTTTGGGCTCCGCACTTGCCCTCGGCAAGCCAAACAAGACAAACCGTCAGCAAAGAACCCGAGCCATGAAACTGCAACCTGACACTGCATGCCTGACATGCTTGAAACCCAATCCCTTCTGTCCTCATGTTTTCAACCGCGGCCATAGGTATGAGAGGGTGTTTCGTGTGCGAGGTACGTATCCGAAGGAACGTATCTTAGCGCTCCTATGATGTTCAATGTGCAATGCGGTGGCCCCCAGCAGCCGGTCCAAAGCCTAAGCTGGAGAAGCTGTTTCGAACGCATCCGGGACATGATTGTGACAATGATTACAGCACCATCACGACAATAAAGGCACCACCGCAGCCCCCAGCACTACCGACGAAGATCGTTCAAAACAGCTATATTATAGAAAATAGTCTGTTAATCAACATTCACCACATCAGGGAAGCCAATGACGACCATCATACATACACATCCACGTAGCTCTTTGCAACAGTTGAGGGTTTGGGCTTGAGATTCAGGGATGCAGAAGGGGCCTTCAACGCGGCCCCCACGATCTCCGGCGGTGGGCGTCCGGCATCCGGAGCTGCCAACAGCAGCATCTGCACCTGAGCACACAAGAACAATGTTGCGCAACATGTTATGCCCACGTGTCATATGTGTGTATATATATATATATAAACAGATAGCACCCCCCTCCCCGTTGGTTTCCGGGCCCCCTCCAATGGATTTGGGCTTTCTGT